AGCTAACATGGAAAAATTTTGCCAAATAATTATGAAAATCAATTTGGCGAAAGTGATGTTTTTAAACCAAACATGGTCAAGAATAATGAATAAGCCACTATTCATGAATTCAAAATTTTTGACATTTTTCGAAGTGTCAAAAAGTATGAATTTTCATGGTCATACTATATCATGAATTTTTTTGTTCAAAATCCATTTTGGATTTGTGGATCACATTAAACGTTGACTTTGATGGAATGGCTAACAAATAATATTCCGTTATTGCAATATATTGGGCCAAAAAAATGGTTATTAGTTGATCTATAAAACCATCACCATTTGGGTTTGTGGTTACCTTCGAAGCATATCCTAAGACACTTCGAAGCATGTTATTAAGAACATGTGAGGGTTGTTAAACCTCTTTTCAAAGGATAAATGGTTGTGTTGTTATATGCATTCATTGAAATATCATTTTGTAGCCACTAATGACTAGTTAAAATGCCAAACTAATTTCATAGTAATCTAGCTCTTTGGATTTGGTTCGAAGAGATGTCGTGAGCACTTTCAAAGGACAATTTTGATCCTTTAGTAACATATGTGACTTTTGAAGGGTGGTTTTGTCATCAATAAACACCTTCGAAATGTAACATGGGACGAGAAAGCTTTTGAAATGCGTACCTCCCTTCAAATATATGTAAAATGACAATTAATTAATTATCAAATAATGCCTATTTTTGGCTTTATAATTAGTGGCTTTACTGATAAACATTTTTATAGCCATTTGTTACATGAAAATGTAACTAGTATTCTACAAAAGTTGGTTCAAAGAACAACGGTTTTGGTGTCTTCGGAGAATTAATAATTGGTTCGAAGTACAAAATTAACATTTTCATAAATTATGTGTGAACCAAAACATACAAAATCTGAATAACCACAATGTTGGCCAAAAGTTGCTTTGAAGGCCCTTTTGCCATAATTTTTTAAGCTTCGAAGCACTCCATCTTGCATCAATAACAGCTTCGAAGAAACAACAATAGTGGTTGTGAACCTTCGAAGCTTTGCCGAGTATTTCCAAGGATGTAATTCGTCCTTTGTCGGCACCTTCGACCTTTGAAAGATGATTTTGGTCCTCTATATCACCTTCAAAGCTTGCTATTAGTTTATAATAGCTAGCATGTGTAACAGCTTGTTAAGGTGAATCATGTTTGGATATTGGCTTTGCCTTGAAAATATAAGGTTCTGAATGATTCTAAGTGCAAGCAACATCAACCTACTTCAAAAGGTTCCAAGTTTTCTAAGTGTTTGAAGTACGAGTAAAATAAAATTGTTTAATTTCCTTTAACGGATTGATGTCGATTTGAAGTACATATATAATATCCTTTCAAGGCATATATAAATATATATATATATATATATATATATATATATATATATATAAATTTTGAGACATCTAGTCATAATTTCATGCTCTTTCAAATAACTTTGTTTTTATTACTTAGATTAGTCATGTGCTTGGTTCGGCCCTTCAAAAAGTCAAGTAAACATCATTTTTAATGGCTGCGGAAGGTAATGTTGGCACCATAAATATGTAATTTTATTATTTATTATTTATATAATTGCAAAACATTTGGCACCCTTGTACTCATTTGGAGGTTATGAAAAATTATGAAATGTGGAAAGATGATGGAAAACAAAGTGGAGAACATGGAGCATGAAGTGGAGGTTGAAGGAAGTTATGGATGATCATGGAGTATTAAATGGAGGAGGTGGAAAAGTAAGTAGTTTTAGGTAATTTTTTCCTACAAATTTTTGCCTATAAATAGCCATTCATGGCTATATTGTAAAAGATCCAGAACTCAAATCAAAGACAATTGATTTCTATTTTTCTTGTCATTTATATTTCCTGCATTTTATTTTACGCACTTCCTTCTCGAAGCATTTATTTTCAACACTTCCTTTTCGAAGCATTTTATGCACTTCCTTTTCAAAGCATAGGAGTAAAGGTATGTAATTGTTACTTTGATTGTTCACTAAATCATCCCAATTGTTCACTTAATCATCTTTCTCCGTCTCCCTCCTTTTTCTTTTAATTTTTCTTTTCTCTACTCTTGGAAATTTTGAAGTCCACTTCATTGAGGCAAAAAAACCGTCAACACAATCGCTTGATAATTGGTTTAAATTTAATCTGTAAGGATTTTTTAATCCTTGCTGGCATGCTCGCATTTATGATATTTTTCTTTATAGGAAAAATAAGCCAACAAACTGATAGTTTGTAAATTTTTTAGTCTACTCTTATTTGTATTGGAAATCAATTGTATGATGATGCATGGGGGATTAGTTATCCTAGAACCTTGTACTCTCAGTCTAATGAAATTCCAGTTTACCAAAAAAAAAAATTAAGGAAATAACTAAAAAAAAATTGAATTATAACTAAATATCATATGAGATATAACTAAACAATTCTTGAATCATTAGTAATATCACAGTGTGTCATAACTAATAATTCAATAGATCATAACCATTGAGTCAAATATTATAACCAAATGTGCATATATTTTTCCCTCAAAACAAACATAGCCTAGGTTGTATTGTTCAACAATATCGCATTCATGTACCATGTGTTTCACTGAAACAATTCGAATCAAAAGAGTGTACAACTGGACATGTCCATCCATAGAAGAAGTTATTGGTTAGTTCATGGCAGTCCACATGATGCTTTGGAATAATGTTATATACATTAATTGATATAACAATTAATATATTAATAAATGATATGACATATGTAAACATAAATTTCGTAGTTGCAATTAAGACAAGAAATAAATGCACAAATAAGTAATTGTATTGATTATCATAAATGGGTACAATCCTCTGTAGATTTGCTTTATTACAAAAGAGCAAATCCTCTGATTCGGTCTCTGAAACGGTTGCAATTCAACAGCTGTAAAAGCTTGTTATTGAACTAGATAAGTTGATGAATTTCTTCAAATCTTCGAATGGAGAAACTTGGAGAAGAGAGGCTTGATCTCGGGCTTGAACGGTTTGATCTTGAACTAGTTTTGAAATGATCTCTTTGAAAAGAGAGATCAAATTTGTATTTGTAACTTGAAAGGATTGGCACAAGTTCAGAGTACTTAATAAGCCTTCACTTCTAGTTTGAAGAGGTTTAAAGAGAATTTTAAAAAAAGAATTTGACATACTATTGAGATTACTTAGGAATCTGCAAGACCTTAGCAAAATGTCCCATCATTTTCTTAACAGTGAGAGTCTTTATTTATAAGCTTTAAGAGAGACAAGTTAATTTTGGCAACTCCAAAATTTGATTTTAGGGGTTGTTCGTGATGATCTAAATAAGTGCACTTTTTGACTTTTTATGAAATATGGGTTGGGTTTGAAGTGATGTGAGAGAGAGATGATGTGACTTAAACAAGATGATTTGACTTAAATAGGATAGTGACTTTTTAACTTTTTAAATTTTTTAATTTATGTCAAACTAGGCCTTAATTTCCAATAAAAGAGAAATTTGTCTCTCATTTTATAGAAATAATTTGCATTGAAATTTAAATTTGAATTTGACCAAATTTTAACAAAATGTCTTCATGGGCTCCACCCAATTGTCAAGATGGGTTCACTTTTCTTTTGGTATGACTCATAATTTAAAATGGGTTGAGATTCATAATTTTGGTAGGATCCATATTCATTTGAAAATTTTGACCATCTTGATTTTGACTAATTAAGAAAATTTTATTTGTCTTGATTAATCAAACAGTGATTAAATTATCTTAAAATTTTGATGTTTACAAACATAATTTTAAAAATTTTAGATATTTGTAATTTGTATAATAAGTAAGGTCATAATTTTAAAATAATAATATCATACATATGTTAGTACACTAATTAATATACTAATTAATACATGTAGTATTGCGGCTTGCATTGTATACTATAATTAATAAGGAGATGAGACTCATATTTTTTTATTAAATAATTGGAAAATGGTAGTTTGTGAAAAGAAACAAAAATTATAAACAAAATATTAAAATTATAAAATGAATAATACTAGGAGTCATAAATAAAATATCATGATATGTATCATGAAAATTTTTCATCCCTTGATTAATGTACGATGTTTTTTTCTAGGTGTAATCCAAAGGGAAGAATCTTTCATGATCATTTTCATAATATTTTTTTCATGATTTGTAGCATTACTCTTATAAAATTGTCCAAAAAAAAGGGACAAACACAAAACAAAAGTCGAGCAAAAAGGGAAAGGAAAAAAGAAAGCCACAAACACTATAATAGTGTATGGATAACATTGGGTTATGTAGACTTTCAAAACCATTATCAAGATCAAGAATACTGAATTTGTGGAATACCTACAATAGCAACATACCCTTCCCACCTACCATGGAAAACACTCAAGGAAGGGAAAGCAATCCAATCATCAGAGACAAAGAAGAAGAAGATTGCAATGACAATCCACTAGCATTGCTTCCCAAAGAGAAGGGATGGACAGGTCTGGATCTCTATCTCTACCTATTTTGAGACGGAACAAATAATAAATTTTTCCATCCACGAGGGTAAGTACATGCTATTTTTTTATGAAAAATGTTTGGGAGCACTAATTAGTGCTCCCATTAATTAGGTGGCAGTGGGTCTCGCCATTTATGATGTGATGTTTTGATCTTGGAGTTGTATTTTTTATTTTATTTTTTATTTTTTTAATACATTGATGTTATTAGTGGTGATGTTTTTAGTGGGATGAATCATTGCTGTTTTTCAAAAATTGGAAAATGAGGATCAAAATCTCATTAGACGCAGCTCGTGGGATCGAGTACCTTCACAACTATGCAGTTCCACCGATCATTCATCGCGACATCAAGTCGTCAAACATTTTGCTGGATGCAAATTGGTCTGAAATAAATTTTAAAAAAAATTTAAAAATTATCTTTTATCTAACTTACCAAAGTGGCCCCAATGTTCAGTTCAACATAGCCTTTTCAATAGATAGATATATGTTATACATATATATTCACCCCCATGAATGGAAAATCTTGGTTTGGTTCTCTCTCTAGACTTTCCTTTTCTCTCTCTTCCGTTTACGCCAATGAAGGGGACCAGAACCACCCAACACATCTTCATCCCCCTTAATTCCCACTCCATTTCCATCACATGACGACAGTCTTCGCCGCTGCCGTAATCATCGCCCTCATCGCCGTCACATCTCCGCTGGTTCCAGTCCATGGCCTCGGCGGCTCGGCCTCCACCTTCGCCGTCGTCTACGGCTCCGCCACCGTCTGCGGCATCGTCGCCGAACAGCAGAACCAGCGAATCCAATGCTGGCAAAACAACCAACTCATCAACATCCTACCCAATATCTCCTTCGACTACATCGCCGGCGGCCAAGACAATTTCTGCGGCGTGAGGTCCGGCGGCTTCAGCCTTCTCTGCTGGAACCCTAGCTTCGTCCCCAAAAGGGTTTACTACAACGATTCTGTGCTATTACAAGACCTCACTTTCGGGGACGATCAAATTTGTGCTCTGACGAACGGTACTCAAAACGTTCGGTGCTGGAGAGGAGAGACAAAAATCTCAACCCAATTGCCAGATGGGTCTGATCAATTTCGGTCAATCTCATCTGGGTTAGGGTTTTCGTGCGGAGTTATGAAGAATTCCGGCAGGGTCACCTGTTGGGGAAGCGATTCAGCAATGGCGACTCTTATTGAAACTCAATATGCCAATGTGTCTATGTCAGATATTGTTGTTGGAGGCAGTCAGGCCTGTGGATTGAATCTAACTGGGTTTGTGGTCTGTAAAGGTAACAATGACTCTGGACAATTGGCTTTTCCATCCAATTCAGCACACGAGTACTCTGGTTTTGCTCTTGGGACCAATCACAGTTGCGCCATTCGGAAATCAAACAACTCGGTGGTTTGCCATGGCCGCGACGGAGCGTTTTCGAGCAATTTGATAGAGGGTGTTTCCTTCGAATCAATTGTTGCAGGGTTGGATTTCACTTGTGGATTGACTACAAGTAATTTTTCCATAATTTGTTGGGGACCTGGTTGGCCTAGCAATTCATCTTCAGGGGTTGAACTTCCATTGCCAAAGATACTTCCAGGGCCTTGTGTTCAATCTACATGTAGTGATTGTGGTATATACCCTCAGTCTCAAACACTTTGTTCTGGTTCTGGTAACATATGTAGACCTTGTGGCATAAACATTTCAATGCCACCAACTTCACCACCAACAGTGACACCACCACCAACAGTCACTCCCACTCCATCACCACCCTCCAAGGGTTTGACAAAGGGTTTGTTAGCTTTTGCCATAGTTGGATCAGTTGGGGCCTTTTCAGGTATCTGCACCATCATTTACTGCTTGTGGACTGGTGTTTGTTGTGGGAACAAAAGAATTCACAATTCTGTGCAACCAACAATTACTGTGTCTAATTCAAATAATGGGCAAGCATCAAACAACAGCCCACCTTCCAGGTGTTCGACTATTAGGCGACAGGGTTCGAGAGCGATGAGGCGGCAGAGAAGCGGAACCTCCTCTAAACACGCCGACAGAGCAGAGGAGTTTTCGTTTTTAGACCTGGCTGCGGCCACCAACAACTTCTCGCTCGAAAACAAGCTCGGTGCAGGCAGCTTTGGGATTGTTTACCAGGGGAAATTGTGGGATGGTCGCGAAGTCGCCATTAAAAGGGGAGAGACAGGTGCGAAGACAAAGAAGTTTCAAGAGAAAGAGAGTGCTTTTGAATCAGAATTGGCGTTTTTGTCAAGACTACATCACAAACACTTGGTGAGGCTTGTTGGTTATTGCGAAGAGAGGGATGAGAGGCTCTTGGTTTACGAGTACATGAAGAATGGAGCTTTGTATGATCATTTACATGACAAGAACAATGTGGAGAAGAGTTGCAGTGTGTTGAATTCTTGGAAAATGAGGATCAAAATCTCATTAGACGCAGCTCGTGGGATCGAGTACCTTCACAACTATGCAGTTCCACCGATCATTCATCGCGACATCAAGTCGTCAAACATTTTGCTGGATGCAAATTGGACTGCAAGAGTATCTGATTTTGGATTATCATTGATGGGTCCCGAGTCTGATCAAGATTACAGGCCAATGAAAGCAGCTGGGACAGTTGGATATATTGATCCAGAGTACTATGGCTTAAATGTTCTAACAGCAAAGAGTGATGTGTATGGACTTGGAGTGGTATTGCTTGAACTTTTAACTGGAAAAAGAGCCATATTTAAGAGTGGTGAAAGTGGAGGAGCACCCATTAGTGTGGTGGATTTTGCAGTGCCGGTGATTATGGCCGGCGAGATAGGGAAGATTTTGGACCAAAGGGTAGGGCCACTTGAGCCAAATGAGGCGGAGGCGGTGGAGCTGGTGGCGTACACAGCGATGCATTGTGTGAATTTGGAGGGGAAAGATAGACCGACTATGACTGACATTGTTGCTAATTTGGAGCGAGCATTGGCTCTATGTGATGACAGCCATGGCAGCATCTCTAGTGGTCCAATCTCCATTGTTTCAGAATAAATTCCACTCTCCATCCACGCACAAAAAAAAAAAAACACTAAATTGATGCGCCAGAATATCACACACACGAGACTAGATATCATTCTAGTAGACAAAAAGGTTTCAAAGTTACAAGAAAATTCAACCTTGGATATCTTGGGGGTTCAATCGATTCAATTGTTATAAAAACTCTTCTGCCATGAGTTTTAAGTTACTGATTTTTTATTTTAATTTTTTTTATTTGGATATATATTTTTTTTAGAGTGTAAAGAGTGCCGGGGGGTTGATCTAACATTGAGCTGTAGTGTAGGATTTTGTGGACACTGACAGCCACAAGAAGCATTACCTGATTTATTTTTTTTTTTTTTTTTTTTTTTTTTTGAAGGAATTGATTCCATTTTCTCTTCATCATTTTTGTATGTGTAAAGCTCTCTCTCTAAAATAGAACTTTGTAGTATACAATAGATTCCGATGCATAGCCACAGAAAGAACGTCAAGGATTCTCTAAAGTGTTTTTTTCCTAAAGTTTCTTAAAATGATATATTGTGTGGTTGAGATTTAATGTTAAAAAATTGATGTGACTTGTCATTAAATCTCAACCACACAATGCACACTTTAGGAAAAAAAAATTCTAGAAGATCCTTGCTCCAGAAAGAAAGTGAGAGAAAGTGCGAGAAAGAGAGAGAGCAGACATGTTTGAGTAATAGTGCAGGCGTAGAGATGTATTATTGTATTGGTATTTGGGTATTTGAGTGAGTATGAATTGGTCGGAAGTAGTCGTAGAGAATGATTCAAAGTACACTTTTGACTGGGCTTGGTTTCGTAAAGGCGACGGCGGGCGATATGATAGTAACTTTATTTTGGATTTGTTTTTTAGGCATGCTAACATGGAGTACGTCTCTACCATGAGTTGAGAGTGGAACACCAATTTTTTTGTTTTTTTTTTGGTAATTTAATTATTTTAATTTAAAATTAAAAGAATATAAAGTCGTTTTGGAATTTGTAGTTTAGAAGAAAAAGACTAGACTTTAATGCTTTTAACTTAATTGGATTATATTAATGGGAGTAGGTTTTAGAAGAACTGAGAGTGGAAAGTTAAATGAAGATAAAATCTACCCAATCTCACTCATTGATCATACAATAATAATATCATTACCGTTAATATTTTGATTACTAAAGAAAAATAAATAGTTTATGGCATGATCACTTCTGTGAGGTCCCTTTATGTTGTATTTGGTTGGGGGATTTGGAGAGGAATTTGAAAAAAGAAATAGAAAAGGTAGGTGAAATGCGAATAAAATATAGTATATATTTTACATAGCTTCACACACCTTTTCCCTTTCCCTTGCAAAATCTCTCCTCAAATTCTCTCAACCAAATAGACCATTAGTTTTTGAATGTTTGTTTTAGCTTTTTTCTTCTTCTTTATATATATATATATAATAAATTATGAAACAATTATATATATCCAACTTAAGGAGTAGGAAAGGTTTTTTTTTTTTTATTTAAAAAAAAATCATGAAACAATTATGTATATCCAACTTGAGGAGTAAGAAAGGAGAGACAAAAGGGGCACGAGAGAGTGAAAGTCGAACTTATAACTTTTTGCATAGAATACAAATGCTTTATTACTAAGCTCTAGGTGAATTTCTTTGTGAGGGACTTATGGGTTGGTTCCATTAACTAAACTTATTTACTTAGAAGTTTTATTATTTTTTTCAGTTATCAATATCACCAAAAAGTATTAGAACAAAATAAATATTTTAAAATTTATTGACACATCAAAAAAATGTACAGAATTTATAGATAATTGAGTCTATCACATAGGACTAACTCATAATTTATCCTTTCTTTTATTTTGGTAGCTTTGACAATGTGTGGCATTTTAATATAAAATAAGCTTAGATTTTTAACTTATTTATCTCTTTAGTTCAAACAAGCTCTAAGAAACTATTTTTTTTTTTTAAATTAAATTTTGAATTTTTTTTAAACTATTACCAAACGGAGGGATCATCTAGATGGGTCATCTCTTGGTAATTGACAAAGTTGAGTTGAGCCCATAGGTATGAAACAAGTCGCACCAACCACTGTGGTCCAAGCTCTCTTGATAGATATGCTTATTTAAAGCAATGCAGGTTAGGCTGAATTAGATGAAGGAATCTGACTTTGAATTGTCAATAAAAATATGGTCAATTAAGTAATGCCCAACATGGGAAGAAAAAAAAAATGGAGGGTGGAAACATTTATATTATGTATCATTATTTATGTAATATTTTTAATAAGGACTTTTCTTAAGTGTGCAACTTACACCTTATACTTACGCCTTTCTGTTTGATGTCCTGTTTTATGTTTGCACCTTCCACTTACACCTTTTATGTTGGTTGCATATGGTGTGCAACCTTATAACAGCACCCTTTTAACAATTGAGAAATCATAAAATATTCTAACACCAAGGTTATATTTGGATTATGAATTTATGTAAGAATTTTATGTTAATTTTTTGTGTGACTGAGGTAAAGATTTAGAAAGGAAAAGAAAAGAAAAGAAAAAAAGTGTATAAAAGTATAAAATGTTATATATCGTTCAAATTTTGCCTAACTTTTCTCATTTTTTTTTTAAATTTTTATCCAAATTTATGAACCAAACACAATTTAAGTGAATTATTCTCTCTTTAACAATCTAAAAAGATGACTTGTCAAATTCTTCACGTTAGTTTGGAAGTATTGTAGGGACACTATTTCATAATATTCAGGAACTAATAATTTATATTGAAATTGACACGTGTAGGGTCCAGATATGAGATTCCAACTATTGATGTTCATTATATAAAATGGGCACGAGTGACAGCCTCTTTATTTAATTTCAATAAATTAAACGGTGCCTCCAAACTTTAAATAATAATTATTTACATCTCAATTTAAAAAATAAAAAAATAATAATTCAATAATAATGGACAATAAATTCATAAAAATTAAATGGTGATAGCTCCAGAAAAGGTGGGGTTTATGAGTGGGCCGGTGACCCACCTCCACCACCCTCGCTCTCTCCCTCCCTCTTTGGGGTTCCCATATTTATTATGATGTTTCATAAAAATATATGTACACAAAAGCTTGATCCCAACATTGCACATGCATGGAATAACAACTCACCCCTCTTTTGTCAAAGAGCTGCATGCATACCTCTACCCCATTTTCCATCATCTAATTTTTCTTTTATATATATATATATATATATATATATTATTTATACAATGCACCAAAATGTTTGTGTCATAAAATTTTCTTTTACAGTTGTGTATTTTGATATATTTTTATTCCCCAATAACAACAATTTTGGTGTGGGACATTATCACCCTTTTTGAAAAAATAATAATGGATTAAATTTAGGGTACTTAGTCCAATAGTCTAAATTTAAAACGTTCCAAACTTTATTTTTATTTATTCATAAGAACAATAATAATTAAAAAATTATATTATCCCTATATCTATCTATCCACGTATTCACTTATTTATCGACTGCGGCCACCAATTGCGGAAGATGTTTTCAGCGATGGTAACTTTCTTTTAAAATAATAATTTATACTTCTCACCAATGTATTTTATTAATTATGTCCTTAAAACCAAAACAGATCAATCATTTGACTTGATGTCATATACCTATACAGGTGCATTTTCACTGATTTTTTCTTGAATTTATCATAAGACTTTTAATTTAGTTTAACATTTTCTCAATTTTTATTTATTTATTTTAAATAGGTGACTTTGCATCCAACTTAACCAAAGAAACGACATATTCCTATAAAGATGTGAAACACAGAAAGGTTCAGACAAAATTGCAATTGGAGATTATGATCTAGAAGATGGACATGAACAATTTTAATATAAGAATTAGAATTGGTTAATAATGTTTTTTCTTTCGTAATAAAAAATAAAAATAAAAGAAAAAGGAAGCCCTGCGACTTAACCTTGAGCTAGCCAAACATCTATCCTACACTCCGTTTAGATTAAGAGATGAGAAAAGAAAAGGGGGAAAAAAAAAAATGATTAGAATTTTTTAAGAAAAAAAAATTATTGTGATTTCTCACAATTTTATTTTCATGAATTATGAATTAAAAGAATAATTTTGATTTCTCACCAAATCACACCATTTTTTGTGAGAAACAAAGTTTAAGCTTGGTGTGATTTGACTTTCTTACTATTTCTTTTCATTTCTCATTAATCATCCAAATAAATAATGAAAAACCTCCATTTCTCTAATTTTTTTTTTTTCTCACTAAATCCGTCAATTCAAATGAAATGTTAATTCTTTAATTTATCACATTTATAATTACAAGCAGTGGTGGAGTTATATAAGAACCAAAAGAGACACGTGTCCATCCTAAATTTTGCAAAAATTACATTTTTACCTATATATATATATATATATGAAAATCTTGTTATTTTGCCCACCCTAAGTTGTACTCATGTCCACTCTAAATCATTTAAAAGCCCCTAGCATTTTCATTTTTCTTAGAAATTGACCTGTGCTATTTAGCCACTTAAAATATTGACTTTGCTAAAAACTCCTTTTTATAGCCTATTTCTAATAGTAGGTAACCGCCTCTCTGACCTCTCTCTCAAATACAAAATAAGGCTTCCAATTACTGTTGATTTTGTGCTAAAATTATGTGTTTTTAAATGTGTACTTGTTAAGTAATTTAATTTCCTTGAGCTATTTATTTATGTTTATTAGTGGTGTACTAATTTTGTGTGGTTAGAATGGGTTGTAATTTTTTATGCCAAATGACTTATTATCTTATATGTTGTAGATTATGGGAGAAAAGTTTATGGGGTTATGATTGATAGTTGCGCGTGTTAATTTTCTGACTCGGCCATTAATTACAATGTAATTATGATGAATATGGTCTTATCTTTTCCTAAGCAAAAGTTTCTAACATACACAAGCACAGCATAAAAACTGTCATTGGATGAAATTCAACTCCATATTATTCACACCTTGTATTCAGGTGTACGCTAATATAATTTCTAATAATCCAATCTACTTTTATAATTAAAGTCCTTTAAAAAGGGTTACTAAATGAAACATTCTTCTACTAATAAACTACACGAGCGGTATTGTCTCAGCAAACTAATCTTTATTGACCTCTTACATGACTCTACAGAAGTCTAAACCATCAAAATCATAATAATAACCTTTCTCAATAACGAAACCATTATTTGATACAAAAGTCAAAAACACAATGCTTTCAATGGAGACTGGGAAATTCAAAATTCAAAGTCCACGCCAATTTTTCAAACTTCTTCCAGAACATGTATGGTGAGTAATCACAACAGGCCCAGCTAGAAATAAAATAAATAATATAATATAAAACAAGATAGAAATTTTTTTGGTAAGGGACCACTTTCTATAAGGGTTTAATGTACTAACTCCATGTCAAACAACTCCCAACTCCAACTCAAGTATAAAATAGTTTGAGATTTTGATCAGATTCAAGGGTATCTTCTTCTTTGTCTTTGCACTTCTACTTCATTCATCCAATCAGAGAGCCACAACAGACCTTTGTAACCATAATATGTTGCTGCAATCAGAGCCAACACAAGGGTAACAAATAGAAGCAGCCTCCACATGGCAGCAGTAAATTTCTGTTCAGAATAGTAGTAGATGTTAGGCAAATAAAGCAACATAGTTAAAAGCTTACTTTTGCTCTTTAACAAAGAATAGCACAAAACCTGAAGTCTTGAAATTTGCTTCGCTTCTTTTGCCCGTTCACGTCTTTTTCTTCGTTTTGGTACATAATTTTCAGCATCTGCCTCCTTATCCTAGGGGGGGAAAAAAACAAAGCAACATGAAGAAAATAGATTTTAGCTAGGTGAATTCATTCACCAATAGAAAGCTATGGCACAATTGATAATTTTTTAAACCCAATATTAACTATATGCATGATTGCATCAGGTTCACTACACAGCATTTCCTGTTCCTCCCATTGGTAGGGGATGCAAGTAGACAAAGGGGATTTGGGGGAAACAAAATGTGCATAGTATGCAATGAGCGAATTTACAATAAAGCAATTGCACTAAGAACGATAAATCCATGATCTGGCATAGAAGTGAGCCTATTCCGGGCCGTGGTTTGTATGGCTAAACAAGTGCAACCATTATATTCTATCCAAATTGACAGAAATTGAGTCACACTAGTGTAAGAGTTGAAAAGAAAAAAATTGAGTCAAAATTGAATTCTAATGCAAAAATACAATATTACCCTTAACTTCATATTCTTCCACTAACCCATGTCAAAATCCTAACCCTAACTTAACCACCCCTCCCACTAGGCACCAGCCACCTCCTCTGCCACCCCCCACCATCCAATTGCAATTACAAATCATAATTTGTTTTTGGCCAACCCATGTTTGCACTAAAGAGAATTATTCACCATAGCTAGAGCCATGTTTGCACTAAAGAGAATTATTCACCATAGCTAGAGCCTATGTTTAGCGAACTTGAACAAGGGCTATCAGATTTGAGTAATTTGAATTTTAGAATCAAATCAAGAATTAATAACATATGATTTAGTGGAAAGGGCATCTGCGTGTATGTATATAATAAATATATATGTATATGGACTGTATATGTGCATGTCCCTTCCTCTATGTGTACATACATGAATTATATATGTATATAGTTAATTTGAACTTTAGTTATTGTTGTAGCAATATCATGTTTGTGCATTTATTCATCTTAGACTTTGGTTGAGTTAATTCCCTACATGACTTACTGTATTGGTGGGCATAAACTACTTTCCATTCTGGCTTGGGTTGGAGTTGCACACTCTCACTCTTTATACCCGGTGGTTGACTTTATGTGTTATGATGTTAGTTTTAATGTGGTGTTATTGTGTAATTTAATTGTAATGTTACATGGACTCTTCAAATTAAATCAAATACCCGTGTCGGACACCCGACACTCGGACAAGGGTATGGGATATGTGTCGGATACTTTTCAACGGATACTTCATATATAATTGTATATAACACTATTATTATATGTATATATTGTTATATAATTGCTATAAATGTCATTTTGACACTATAAGTTAAATATAATACCATTTTATCTCACATATTAGATTAAAAATATAAAAATATGACATTTTTTTGCCGAGTCCGCGTATCCTTAAATTTATGATTTGATGAGTCCGACCTCTAGATACATACCCGCACCCGACACCCGTACCCGAGTCCATGTAACATTTGTAAGTTTTGAGTCCCAGAATCTGTATGGTTATACAGGAAGTGGGAGATTTCTATAACGACATTTGAATTGGTCACCTTCATCAACCACCACTCTCAAGTCACCCTCATACTCTCCTGTATTCCCCCTTTTGTCCCTCCAATGTATCAAATGAGAGAGAGAGAGGGATTAGGAAGAGCAAAAAGACTAGGCTTCACAAATCATTTTCAGGAAAACTATCAAAAAGAATCTTGATAATTATCTAGTGTGGTAAGGGCATAACACAAGACAAACATTCTAATCCCTTCAGTTTTCTTAAATAGCAAACTTAAGCCCAAGTTAATAAATTCATAGTTAAAGTTAAGTTTTTCTTATTAGACTTTATAAGACTTTTCTTAAAAGGCTTTGTGAGACCCTCAAACTTAGTATCATTCAAACAATATCGTAGTCAAAAATATAATTACATTCATTTAGGACTTACACAAATTAGTATATGTCCTTTATTTTTAGGTGGAAAAGACATTCCAGTGTTAACCTATGTCATGGATAATAGATGGCATAGCTTTGAAAAAACCTTAATCAGAGGAATTCAAAGTAATTTGTATAACAGACCAATTTGGTTCACTATCAAACCAAACTATTTCTTGGCATTGGAAGGTCTTAATTTTAATTGAGCATTAGGATTGAAAATAAAAACTCAAGGTATGAAAAACCTTAATGCAAAAAGCAAAAACATTGCTATTAATTATAGGCTTATGTATAGAGTGGTAAACCTGTACCTCAAATCAAGGTATTCAAAAAAAACGAGTGCCCACACTCGGAATTTTCAATCTAAAAAGGTTAATATAAAACAACTATCATGGCCTAAGAAATGGATTCTTGGAGAAACTTCAAATCGAAAAAACCTCAAAAATTTAACAATTCGAGAAAACAAAGGTGGTGTTTATCTAGAACCTAGACGAAAATCAAAAAGTGATCTTCTTACTAGATCTAGCTCTACAAGTAGCCTAGAAAGAACAAAAAATAAAGATAAGGTTATAATAGAAGAATCTAGTATACAAAGAAGTTCATATGAAGAAATAATAGGGTACAAAATAACAAGTATCCCTATTTCAAATAAATCTTCATAAAAAATATCGATCGAAGAACACCAAAACCTAAAAATGGTTTATAGATAATCTTTCCATTACTATAAATACAAAATTAATGGAAAGAGGATTATCCGGTGAAGAACTCCAAAAAGGAGTCAAAAAAATAATCAAAAACATAACTGAAGATAGGAGTTAAAAATCTCGTGAAATTAAAAATTGTAGAAGTTAGCCACTACAAATTCATATGTTGAATTATTGTTTAACTTTCCGAGCTATCATCCTTGCACTATTGATGCATTAGTTGACACTGGTGCTTCATATTGTTTGGCAAAACCTGGAATTTTACCTCCAGACAAATGAGTTTTATCTAAAAATCCAATTGCATTATAATTGGCTAACGGTCAATCTGTAACTATGGAATATGAAAGTTATCATGTTCCTGTTATTCTAATAGAAAGGAATTTGTCATCAAAACGAATAATTCAATTCCCATTTTTAAATGGTGATTTTTTAGTTCGAAATGCATTTTTGAAACAAGACGAAAATAGACCTTTTCTTCAAGATCAATCATATATTGTTCTTAAAATGATGCATGGAATTCCATTGCTCAAATATGCATCTCAAAAATATAAATTTGGTTTTAATCCTGTTGAAATTATGCAACCAAATTTCTTGACACCTATTCAACCTCTCTACGTAGCCTAGTGTTAGCACCTTCTACGTGAAGGCTGCATGGTTCGCATTGGCAGCACCTTGCACCAATGTCCAACCAAGACCACGGCATGATGGTGGCATGCCAAAACAGCAAGGTGAAACATTGATAAAGTGCTGAGGCAGCAACACAGGACCCTTGGCCAAAGTATGGGCAGCAGTGGCACAAATGCAAGGCATTAACATGACCCGAATGTGGGCTGCAACATACTTGGGGGTTCAAAGCATTCAGTAGGCAAAACTTGGTCTGGGGGCCAAGACAACCAAATTCGTAGCTAACTGAGAAGGCAAACAACATGGGCAGTTCAAGGCAGTTATGCTTGTCTGGCAGCAGTTACCCATGTTGAGCAAAAGACAAGGCAAGTCTGGACATCTGGAATCAAGGCAGGGAGTTAGCAGCAGTTACTAGCAGTTATGTCCCAGAAATGATCCTAAGTCACTAGGCAGTTGGGGGTGTCAACAGCCATGCCACTTGGCATGCTTTCCTTGTAATGCTGGTTGTAAGTTTGTAACTGATTGTAAGCCTATTTAGGCATAAGCCATGGAACTCGAAAATTAACTAAGTGTTGGTAAGAGTTTCCATAGACATCCTTTGTATTGTTGGTGCAATTAATAAAGGTTGAGAGTTTTTCCTGTAATCGCTTGCTGCCTATTCTCTTACTTGTTATAACACTGTGTGTGTGTGTGTTCATATTTGGCTGAGACTAAGTGCCCAACTTAGTGCCATTACAGGTTGGAAATTTGAAACAAAAATTGACCCTGTAACACCTAGCATGGTGAGCTAAAAACAATAGACAACCAAAACGACCAAGAAAAAACTTGACAACAACTATTTGAAGATGACGTTGATTAAGAGTGTATTGAGCGCATTCCAACCAACTTTATGTCCATCCAAGTTATTCCAGTATCAGTGGCGCAACGGTTGGAGAAGCTTCAGAGGAATTTTTTGTGGGGTAGTGGTGGTGATGAATTTAGGTATCATCTGGTTGAGTGGGGCCAGATTTGTCAATCTAAGCAGGCAAGGGGGTTGGGGGTGAGGAGGTTGGTGATTTTTAATAGAGCTCTGTTAGGGAAATGGTTGTGGCGGTTTGCCGTGGAGGAGGACAGATTCTGGCGACCGATGGTGGCTTCTAAGAATAGGATGGGGAGGGGGAATTGGATCTCGGGAGATGTGATCACCACGGATGGGTGTGGGCTTTGGAAAGGGATTTGGTTGGGAGGGGAAGAGTTTTGGAGGTGGGTAAGGTTTAGGATGGGAGATGGGTTGAGGATGCAGTTTTGGACCGAGAGGTGGTGTGGGGGGAAATCTTTGGCGGCCCGTTTTCCGTTGATTTTTAATATTGTGGTTGATCAAGAAGCGACGGTGGCTTCTTATTTAGGGGGTGGGGATATGGTGGTGTGGGATATTCAGTTACGGTGTGCGGTGCATGATTGGGAGGTTGCTCAGTTGGTGGAATTGTGAGGTGTCTTAATGTTAGCATATTATATTAAGTGATAGCATATTATATTCACCGAAAGGCACACTAGGGTATGTCTGTAATCACTGTAATCATTTTATGCACTCAGGGATAGCACTCAGGGATCATCTTGTAAATTGCATTTCTTGTAAACCCTAATCTTCTTTTATAAATAGGGGGTGATATTCTTTCATTCCCCAAGCTGGTTACCCAAGCTTCACTTAAATGGGTTGGGAATTACTGGGGTGGGACGAGATGTTATGGCATGGAGTGGGGTGGGGGCAACGGGCGGTTTACAATTGCATTTTTTATAGGGGTTTAGTGGGGGATAGTGGTGTTGCTTTTCCTTGGCACAGTGTTTGGCTACCGAGTGTTCCGTCTAAGGTGGTCTTCTTTATGTGGACGGCCGCTTTAGGGCGGAATCTTACTTTGGACAACTTAATGCGGCGTGGTCATGTTTTAGTGAATCGGTGCTGCATGTGTTGTGCTGCTGCTGAGTCGGTGGATCATTTGTTTCTTCATTGTTTAGTGGCTTCCCAGTTTTAGGGTTTCATTTGTTCTCTTTTTGGGATTGTTTGGGTTCAACCGAGGGGGGTGTTGGATATGCTTTGGGCATGGAGGGGCGCTAGGTTTGGGCGTCAACGTCGGCAGGTTTGGTTGTTGGCACTATTTTGTTTGATGTGGCTTGTTTGGTTGGAGCGAAATCAATGCACTTTCTTAGACGTTGCTCATGGGGTTGCTTGGTTACAAAATCGTCTACTAGTTGTTATGTATAGTTGATTGGAGAGGAAGGTTGATCCAGATATATTTGTTTTTTTGGATTTTCTAGATGATGTAATTAGTTAGCTTCGTTTATTTTGGTTTCCCCTAAGTGAGGATGGCATCTTGTATTTCTTTGCATCATCTTGATGCTTTCTAATAAGATTTGTTTATTTGTCCAAAAAATAAAATAATGACACTATAACTAATAATGAATATGAAAATGATAGTGAATAAGAAGATGAACAATCGATCAATAATATCACAAATCACTATCAAGGAAAAATAAGGAAAAAATATTCGAAGTTAGATAGTATTAAGAAAATGCTAAAAAATAATTTTAGTGATAACCTACTTAAACTATGGAAAACCGACAAGCCGTGGGGAAAAAATAGTACTTGAGGATCCAAACTATATAATCAATGTAAAACCCATTAGACATAGTATTGAAATGAATAAGGAATTCGAAAAACAAATTCCTGATTTATTAATACCAAGGTTAATACAACCTAATAAAAGTCCTCATTTCAGTCCTACATTTATGGTAATGAACCATACAAAAAAAATTAAGAGGAAAAGCTCGTATGGTAATAGATTATAGAGCTTTAAACAAGAAAACCATAAAAGACGGTTATAAATGACCGAACAAAGATGTTTTGATAAATAATATTCAATGAGCCAATTTCTTTTCTAAATTTGATTTTTAAAAGTGGCTATTGGCAAATTCGAATAGAGGAAAATTCTATTCCTTTAATTGCTTTTAGTGGTCCGCAAGGACATTATGAGTAATTGGTTTTACCATTTGGCTTAAAACAAGCTCCACCTATATTTCAAAGAAAAATGGATAATATTTTTTGAAAACATGAAGAATATTGTATGGTATATGTGGATATTTTAGTCTTTTCCGAGAGAAGAACATCGAAATCATCTCCAAAAAATAGCTCAAGAATTCATAGAACATGGATTAGTGCTATCTGAAAAGAAAATTGAATGGAAAAAGAATTCCATAAAAATTTTGGGATTAATAATTGATGACAACAAAAAAGTTGTGCTTCAAGATCATGGGTGTGTTTGGTTTTGTGTTTTGAAATAAATTTTTTAAAAACATTTTGGGAAGAGAGTTCAGAATTTTTTTTTGGTTTGTTTGGTTGTATATTTTGAAAATAGTTTTAGAGTTTTGAAATTTGGAATGATTTGATATTTTATTGTAGTTGAGTAGATGTGTGTGAAAAAAAAAAGTGATTGAGAAGGAGAGAGGAGAGAGAGAAAAAGTGATTGATTGATGTGTAGTAGAGAGAGTGATTTTGAAAGAGAAAATTCAAAAAATTTAAACCAAACAAAATTTTTAAAAAAATTTCTCAAAAATTGTATTTTGAGATACAAACCAAAAAAGCCCCATATCTCTAAAAATGTCACGGAGTTTTCTGAAGAGATAGGCAATGTCAAACAACTTCAACGATTTTTGAAAATAATTAACTATGCCAGAAAGTTTATTCCAAACTTATCTGAATTAGTAAGCCCATTAAGCAAAAAACTTTAGAAGAGAAATTGGAGTCAGAATCTAGAAGATACTAAAAAAATATCTAATATAAAGAAGATAGTAAAAAATCTTCCCAAGTTAAGTCTACTTCATCGAGGAGATAAATTAATCTTAGAAGCAGATGCCTCTAAAAATAATTGGGGAGCATTATTAAAATCAGTACCTCCTAATAAATCTAAAGAACAGATATCTTTGAAACTAGATACCACATATATGAAAAATAATTTCTTGCTATAAAAAATGGTATAAAATCTTTTTATAATTTCTTAGTTTCTGAACATTTCCTTATCAGAACAGATAATAGTGTTTTAATTTTTTTTCGAAAAAAGATTTAAGAGATGTTAGTCAAGGAAGACTGCATAGATGGTAGCAGTGGTTTCATTATTTTAGTTTTGATATTGAATATATTTCTTCTGAAAAAAATTCCATCGCAGATTCTCTAACCAGGGAATTAAGTTTTATAGTGCAAGAAATCACAACTTCAACGGACAAAGGGAAGAAACCCATGTTACTTTGTTGGAACTGCAACAAAGCAGGTCATAAAGCTAAAAACTATTAGTGGAAGGATTTAAAAAATTATTCAGCTAACAAAAAGCGTACGCCTGAAACTGTGACAACAAAGAGAAACAATCCGAATTTTAAACCAAAAACTTCAAAAGGATTCTTTGTTGGAGAATCATCAAAGGAGCGAAAAAATGAGTTAACCTCCGAACTCGAAGAAATGGATATAGTGGAAACTCCTACCATAATTGAAAAACCATTTACAATCCTGGACTAGCACTAAAAAGTCGCAAGCGTTGCAAAGATTTTTGATTTGCTCTGCGCAACAACAAACGAAAAGATGCGCATAGAGTTATTAGTTCTCTTATTGATTATGTTGGATTTCTAGAAAATGAGTTTAAAATCATCCACAATGATGAAAAAATGATGAAAGAAAGGGAAAAAAGAATTTTTGTTTTGAAAGAAATAGAAACATATTTTTCCAAAAGAGCTTGCTGAAAAAATAAACAAATTGTCAAACAACAAGATGAATACAAAGAATTCCTTTGTATGCCATCCTTAACTGAATCCTTAAATTGGGATTATGGCTGGCCAAGTCGTAAGTTATCAGTGGATAAAATTAATATACACTGGATTGAAATTGCAATTGTTGATTTTGTGGAAATGGATAGAGAAGATTTTTAGCTCTTAAATGAATTTCCAACAATAGTTAAATATGCTATCACAGTTATAAAAGCAAGTCCAAAACTTATCATGGCACAAATCATGTCTACTTTGGTTGAAAGAACTAAAACTTAGTTTTATCAACCCTATCAGATCTAGTATCTTTACCCGGTAACCAATCGAAATCCTTTTATAAAAAGGCAGAAAAATCATGGAAGGGATATGATCCTCTCATTGACAAAATTGATAGGCTTATGTTTTTCCACAATACATTGGAACCTTTTCTCCATCATTCAGAACCAACAATCTACTGTGATGGAAAAAGGGTTGTGGTTGTAAAAAGTGATATAGTAGCAGAAGACAAAGCAAAGGAGATACTCAAGGTGCTCCAAGAAGAGATAATTGAAGCACCAAACATCTCTACAGCTGTTTGGGAACTCTACAAAATCAAGATAAGAGCCCAAATTGCTTATGAATCAATGCAAGAAATGGATCACTGCATTTCTGAAAAATAAGTATAAGTTCATATGACAAATTAGGCCAAAAAAAGTAGGAATCTTTCAGACTAGTCACATGGAGAACAAAACCAAAAAAAGGCTCACAAGACAGAAGAAGCCAAGAAAAAAAAAAAGCCCAAAAGAGAGTTCACATGACGGATATAGCCAAGGAGACACAACAAAGTGGATCACATGATGAATGAAGACAAAGAAATCACATGTTGAATAAAATGAGGACAACGGAGTCACATGTTGAATAAAACCAAAATGATGGAGATACTACTACCAACTTTGTTAACTTCAATAAATTAGAATGTAAAAGGTTCGTTCATTGTCTTGTTACAAGAACCTTATCTTTTAATTTTATACATTTCAATTCCGAAGTTGAAGTCCACTCTTTGCCTATAAAAGGGTGTGGCTACGTCTTGTAAAATCAAAGTCAAGAAGTAGAGTCTTATAAGTGAACAAGATGTTTTCCTCTATCTTTCTTGTAATCTCTGTAGTTTTCAAGTATTCAATAAAAAGTTTCCATTTTCATAATCTCTTTGTCTGCTGTCTTTAATTTTCTGGAGGTCTAAGAGTAGTGATACAAGCAAAGTAATATTCACCGAGTGTGAGAAATTACGCTTATAGTCTACTCATTGATAGGCTTGAAAATATTCACAGCAGGCGAAGCAAGGTGGACATGGAAAATGCAAAAAAGAACCTCAATGCAAGTATGTTTTAAATTTCAAGTCCTAGTTTGCAAATAATATAAAGTTAATTTTGTTTTATAGTGTTTAATAATTGGTAGGTTGTAACCTACTACTTGTGAGTAGATCACACAATAAAACACCAAATCTTCAATCTGTGGCTAGGATTGCTTGTGAAGGATTTCCTAAAACCCATTTCGTGAAACGCAGCATTGTTCTAGGAAGAGAACCATCAGCCTTCCTCTCCTCTCTTCCACTCCTCTTTTTTCTCAATTGTTGGTGATTTGCGCCTTGAAGCTTGAAGCTGGTGTTTGGAGGCTTGCCTCTGGAGTCCTTTTGAAGTTCTAGGAAGCCTTGGAGACTTGAAGCTTGGAGAAGAGTTCCTCCATTCCTCTCCCACCGTTGTCTCTGTGAAGCTCAAAGAGGTAGGATTTCCTCTATTTCTATATGTGTAGATATCATGCTAGAATTTTGCTTCAATAAATCCGTGTTATATATGAGTTTTCATGTATTTTTTACTTTGAAAATGGTAGAAAACATGTCAGGGCTTTTTATTTTATTTTTTTGATTGCTACTGGGGTGTCGAAATCAAAGACCAACTAATCCCCAATGGTGCACAAGCCCTCGGCAAGAAAAATGTTATGGTTTTTTATTTTTGGAAAAGGAATTAAGTTTGAACTCTTGTTCGTGAGTGAGATAGTCATCCACGGTTGATCCAGTGGACGACCAGCTAGACCGGTGGTCCATTTTTATGGGCAGTGAGTGGGTTTGGTTCTGCAGGCACTTGGGTTGTTTTGTGGGAATTCATCGGCACACTTTTAGAGTTCATTGATTTACTTGCTTCACCTAATTCGATTGCTCTCACCCCATGTTTTAATCCTAATTAATTATCAGATGTTCATGATTTTGTGGCATGACGTTAGGAATATTACATGTTATTGTAATATTGAGTGAAAAAAAGACCTTCAGAGAAAATGTAGCTATGTATGAATTTTGAGATTGTAAAATTGTAAAGAGGATATTTTTGACAAAGGCCTTGTTTGGTAGAACTGTGGGAAAATGCTTATAGCTTATGCCTTAACAGCTTATAGCTTATAACTTTCAACTTAAGCTGATTTCCAGCTTATTCTTAAAGCATCTCCTGCCCCACTCAAAGAATAAGCTGATTTCTGACTTCCAAAAAGCTATAAGCTATAAGCTATAAGCTATAAGCTAAACTAAACACATCAAAATAGCTTAAATTAAGCTGAAAGCTGAAATAAGCTGTTATTAAGCTCTGCCAAACAGGCACAAAATGATCATAGTAGTTGGTTGAACTTGGAAATGAAAGGTCAGATGAGAGTTTTGGAAAGAGGGTTTGAGAAGGAAAATTTTTGGGTTTGAATTTAACTAAAATCTTCCTACTTAGTATCATCGTGTTGCATTTTGGACCCAATATTGTTTTGCGTTGTTGATTTAATTATTCATTGTGGTTCGTATGTCACCAGTAGGCGTTATGTGGTTGACGGATAGTGTAGATCTCGGTTGTGTATAAGCTTGATTGGATGATGTGGAAGTTCATCCTCCAATTAGAGCCCCGGAATGTGTTGTGCAGAATAGGAGGCTAGTCACCACCTAGTGTACCTGAAGAGGAAGGGGGAATGGCCCATTATAGGATTTGGAAGCCTAGGATGAAGCCCGTGGGTTCAAAAGTGTTTTGGTCCCATAAAGTAACTACACACCCATAAACACATTTACGTTCGAAAATGTTTCTTAAGAGGATAGTTCGAAAGAGTTTTGGTCTCATAAATGTACGAAAAAGTATTCTGCTGCATAACCAAAATTAGTCAGCCTGTGACACCAAACCACCCCACCTCATAAACTATCCAGTTCAGCACCCTCAAACTATCCTCTTAAGAAGAGACCAGCCGAGGTCCTTTAATACATCAAGCCCATTAGACCTAAATCCAATCCACATCTTAAAACTCCCAGACCCAACCAACTCAAATTCAGCTCAAACCCTATTCTTACTTAGGCAAAAACCTAGTCAGATCTTAAATTCCATACAGCCTGTTTTTAAAACCCAAACCAGATCTCTTAAATTAAGCCCAGTAACCAGCCTTTTCCCAAGTCCAATCCAATCGTAAAGTCACTCCAACACCAACACATACCCAATCCAAAAACCCATATCCAGCAGAACCAGCCTTACCCAATATACATATATAGCACACTTCCTTTACATCCAGTCCGACACCTAATCCCAGTGCCTCCCAAAACCACACCCCAACTACAAATAGCCCACTTACCTATTCACCATCAAACAAGATTACTAATGCAGAAATGAATTCCAAGTATGAGAACTTAAACCAAGATGTATAGCGATCCCGGGTTTACCCTTGTCGTACAGTGATTCGGACATGTGTCCGTGGATGTTAGTAGTTGATCATTTCCTTGTGTACATCCTTTCTTACTTTGTATTTGAGTTATAGGATGTGTAGGGCAGGTTTGTTACAGGTTGGTTGAGATTAGAAACTAAAACTAGTTGCCCAAATTTTGACCTATCCGCTCGAGCGGGAGTTTCACCCATCCAGTATTTCCTGTGCAGTGTTCGACGCTCAAGCATGGGATTGGCCGCTCGAGCGGGTTTGTGTGAGTGGCGCTCGAGCGGGGAGTTGGAAGCTCGAGCGGGAGACCTGTCTGCAAAAGTTCTGGGAGTGTGTATCCGGAGCTCGAGCGGGGGATTGGCCGATCGAGCGGGAGTCTGTGAGTGACGCTCGAGCGGGGCGTTGGACGCTCGAGTGGGGCGACTGGGTTAAAGCTCCGTGTTTTGACTTTTCAAATCACTTTTTCACTTTCTCTTCTCTCTCCTACTTTTCCAAAAACACCATTGTTGAGCCTCTCACTCTAGAACTCTACCTTCTCTCTAGGTTTTGATCTAGTAGGAGTGATTTGCTCATCTTTGGCCTTTACAAAAAGGTTGTTGATCGTCGAGAGCTACATTTTAATCTGAAAATTTCGGGATTTGGAGCACGTTGGGTTTTGTCATCTTCTCCCTTGGGGCTCCGGATTTGAGGTAGGGATATCCTACTCCTCTCTATGGATTTTGTCTTTAGATTTTAGTATTTTGAGATGTTGGGGTTGGTTTGGTAGTTTTGTGAAAGTTTGGGGCTTTTGTGTGATTTTACAAAAGTTGGGGTTTTATTTATAATAAACCTAGATGCATGTTTGGCATAGAGAAATGAAATAAATGTTGAATCATTGATGAAAATGGGACCTTAAGGATTGTAATGTTAATTATGGAGAATGCCCTAATTACATTGTTTGATTAATTGGGTTAATTAATCGTGAGAAATGAGGTTATGAAATAGAAATGTTGAGATTGGGAATACATGGGATTAAAGGGTGTAGTCGGATCTCATGCCACTCACCTAGTTGAAAATGTCGATTTTATATCCATTTGTTGCATTTATTTACTGTATAGAAATAACTGCTTTGGGCTATCGGTGGAGGATAATCGTGATTGTTGTAGGCAATGCATGATGATTAGGCAAACGGAAACTAATCACTGGAATGAGTCATTGATTATGATTGATTGAAAGAACACGTTAAATTTATGTGTTGCGTGATGATGTGTATAATTATTGTTTATATGCATTGTGTTGTGTTGGAGGAGATAGGGGATGTACTCCACGGTTTAGGGGAAGATAGGGGATGGACCTCTAAACCGGATGTTGTTGGGAGGAGATAGGGGATGGACTCCGTAGATAGAGCTCATATGCTTATCTAGTACTGTGTTGACAGAGCTCATATGCTTGTCATTGGAAGTGTGAAAGTGCTCATATGCATATCTGTGGAAGTAATGATATAGCTTGTATGCTTATCTGTTGTTGTGTGATATAGCTAGTATGCTTATCTATTATGAAATGGGAAGTGTTTGATATGAGTTACTGTCTCATATGAGTTGTTTGGTCAGGTTCTAAGCCATGGTTGTAAATTGAGAATTGAAAGGAATCTGGAAAATGGACTGTAAAATGGACTTGTATGTCATGAAACCGTAGAATGTGATAAGGGAAAATATCTGTATTGGCCATCTATCAACTGCTAATCTCTTAGTCATTGTTCATATTTGGTTTAGTGTATTTCTACTGGGCTGTGGCTCACCTTATATGGGAATATCATTTTCAGGTACAGGTAGCATGCCACCTCCAAGGTCATAGCTTGGGAGGCTAGAGGCGGACAGATTTTTGCTGTTTAAGTTCCTTTTTGATGTATTACATGTATATTCAAGCCGAGGGCTTAAGGTGTAGATGAGTTAGTATTCTTTTGTTGTAACCAAGTGTTAACTTGGAAAGCTGTAAGCCCGTAGGGCATTTTGCTTTTGTTGTTAACATGTAATACTTTTGTAATGAAACTCTGATGAATAGAAGATTGTGGATATTTCATATGTCAATGAATGTTTTATTTGATGGGTTTAATGTTATTATTCTGAGGGCGTTACAAGATGTGCAAGAGATGAAAAAAAACATTAACCCAAGTGCAAGCTGCATTAGAAAAAATAACTCTTACATTGGAAGATAAGGGAAAGGATACAACTAGTGGACCTTTGCTGACTCAACTGCCACCTCCTATTTTTGTGTGTGGACACAAAGGACCAGTGGATCATTGCCTGACTGATGTGGATAGAGGTGTCAAGTTCAGAGTATTGTACGTTAATGGAGACCACGATCCAGAGGTATTTTTTTATTGGTTACATAGTTTAGAGAGGTTTTTTCGATGGTACCACTTGACAAAATAAAGAAAGTTACTGTTTGCTGAGGCAAAATTGAAGGGAATATCTAGGATTTAGTGGTCTAAATACCAGTGAGACCATTACGCAGCTATACAGAATTGGGAAGATCTGAAAATTGCAATTAATCGTTATTTTGTTTCACCGATTACAAACAATAAGTTCATTTGCAGTTTACTTAGTTTAACACAAGGAACAAAGTCTTTGGAAGGTCTAAGTTTCCATGGAATGAGGATGTCATGATTTCCATGAACTGTCAAGGACTAAATCTGCAAATCTCTTGTGGTTTGGCTGCTAAAAGACTTTACCACATGAAAGATGTTGTCCAGGTGAGAAGGTACAGAAGGCTCCTACGCGTTCCCTAGTGGACACCCTTACAAGTGAGGAATTTTGTGGAACCCATATGTAACACACTTTCTGATCTGCCTCTCCTTTCTACTCCTAGTCCTTTTCAGCCTTCGTATGGAGGTAACAAGTCAAGTGTTTTAATTGTCAAGGTTTTGGACATCAAGCTCAAAATTGCCCTTCTCCCAAGATTAATGTGCCAATTAAGCCAGTTGCAGTGCTTGACAACAAAAATATTGGTATTCTTGGCCATGTACCTAACTCAATGGAGTTGAGTTCTTTTCAGAGAATGAGAATTTATGGCATAGCCCTTGACTATTTGGAAGCCCGTTGTAGGATTTGGAAGCCTAGGGTGAAGCCCGTGAAAGTCTTGAAATTTGCTTCGCTTCTTTTGCCCGTTCACGTCTTTTTCTTCGTTTTGGTACATAATTTTCAGCATCTGCCTCCTTATCCTAGGGGGGGAAAAAAACAAAGCAACATGAAGAAAATAGATTTTAGCTAGGTGAATTCATTCACCAATAGAAAGCTATGGCACAATTGATAATTTTTTAAACCCAATATTAACTATATGTATGATTGCATCAGGTTCACTACACAGCATTTCCTGTTCCTCCCATTGGTAGGGGATGCAAGTAGACAAAGGGGATTTGGGGGAAAAAAAATGTGCATAGTATGCGATGAGCGAATTTACAATAAAGCAATTGCACTAAGAACGATAAATCCATGATCTGGCATAGAAGTGAGCCTATTCCGGGCCGTGGTTTGTATGGCTAAACAAGTGCAACCATTATATTCTATCCAAATTGACAGAAATTGGTTCCAAGGCTTTGGTTAAGGTTCCGAACCAAACCGGACATCGACATATTTGTTTATTATTTTTTTTAATATTTTTATATGTAAAAATTAAAACATAAAAAATCTCGTATAAAATTTCAACACTAGCCTTCATTGTAAAATTGATAAACCCTAACCAAATTAATTATCATTAATTTGTTTAGTAACAAAAAAATATATATCATATTTATTATATAAAATTTTTAGAACCGTAAAACCAAACCGAATCAAACAAGTTTCTATGGTTCGGTTATGGTTCTAATTTTTTCTTGGAATTGGTTCCTACGGTTCGATTCTTGGTTTACTCTAAAACCGGACCAATCCGATCCATGTACACCCCTACTCTTCTTCACCTATTGTGTACTACGCCACTAGTTGTCATGTGTATGTTTATATATATTGTTTTCCTTTCAGTCATGAGCTAGGTTTCGATATGTGTGATGTGACGTAAATGGATGTAGTATGTGGCTTATCTTCAAGTAATTCGTATTACATGTTGGGAATTTTGCATTCTTATTTGTCTGCAGTTGGTATGAGTAATCTTGTAAATAAAAAAAAAAAAGTATAAAACCATAAGATGGTCATAGAAAGTTAAAATAAAGAGGAATTAATCGAGAATATAATTCTTGTTGCATATCCCATATAGCATGCATACACTTAGTTGTAGAGATTATGGTGAGCACGTTATTCTTCTACTCACCCCCTACATTGCAGTTACCATCAGGAGGCTCAATTGTAGATGTGCACACCATGGAGTCATCTATTTGATTTGAATAATAGAAGTTAAATGGTACTTGATCCATGGAAGTGTATTGTTTAATGATACACTTTAATCAAGGTTACCTTATCACTATTTTTGTCCACAATGGTGCATTGGGTGTAGGAGGAATGGTGAATCAGTGAACCATCTTTTTTTGCATTGTTCCGTTGCATTGAAGCATTGGCACAGGCTTTTCTTTCTTTTTTGACCAATTCTCATTGGGTGGCTCCAAGGAAATGTAATAGTATGCTCCTGATTGATTCCAAGGTTTTAGACGCAAGAAAAGAGCGAAAGTGTTATAATGGTGTCTCATTTCTGCCATGTTCTGGGAAATTTGGTCGGAAAGGAATGCAAGGATTTTTTTGGACAAGTTTAAAAAAGTTGATGTATTGTGGGACAAAGTGTCATTGGGCGTCAATTTGGGTGACTTCTTCTACTCATTATAAAGGGGTTCCATTTGTTCTTTTATCCAAAGATTGAAAAGCTATTTGTGATCTTTAGGGCTTTTTTGAATCTTTTTTTTTTCCATGTAATTGTTTCTTGTAAAAGACATCTTGTCCTCTTTTTGTGTTTGTTCCTGCTTTTCAATCAATAAAATTTTCTTTTGTTGCTCATCATAAATACAACAGAGAAATAAAATCACTGAAGATGGAGGTAGAGAGATTGCTAATGGAGATTATCCAGAGCCGAAGAGACTGTGTAGAGATCGGACGAAGCAGCTCATACGGGAACGATTTTCTCGGAATGCTTCTAAATGAGATGTAAAAAAAAAGAAAGGAAATTTGGGTTTGTCCGGCGGGCGGCCAAGGCGAGATTGCCGCCCGCCGGTAAAACGAAATTACTAGATTCTTAACCTAGCTCTGATACCATGTAAGATAAATTGATAGAGAGATAGAGCAAGTGAATAAATGAGATGTATTATGATTGATGTTCTGAATGTTGTATATAATGTGAAGGTACCTCTCCTTTTATAGAGGGGAGAGTGTTACAAAGGAGCCAAAGAGCCGAAAGAAGAAAACATAATTATTAAACACTTTACATATTATATTCTAACAATCCTCATTTGACCCTCTCTTTTTCTTTTCTTTTCTTTACTTTCTTTTTCATTTATTTATTTATTTTTGTTTGTTTTTTATTATTTTATATAAAAACACCTAAAAATGTGTACACACACATAAAATTAGATAAAGATTAAAAAAAATTAGTGATATAAAATAATTTGACAAAAATAGGTGAGGTTTGGGATTAAAGCTTCAATTTGATTTTTCGGCTGAGAAATTCATAAAATGACGTATTCCAATTTTTATCAGTGGGTGGTCAAAAGAAAGTGCCCAAGTCTTAGGGCTAGTCAAAATGGAGTGTCTACAGCGGCAGTAGCGGTGGTGGTAGTGCAGTAGTGGAAGGAGGTGTTGCGTGACGGAAGACAGCAATCGTCGAGTAACGTCGCTGAATCAGTGTTGTGAACTTTAGAGTATGTTCTTTGTTGTCCCTTTAGTTGGATTCTGCAATGGTGCAATGGTGTGCGACGACAGTGGTGGCGGGATCGCCATTGAGGATGGCGGCGACGGAGAAAAAAGAGAAAAATGCACCAAAATGTAATTTTTCTTATATATATATATTATTTATACAATGCACCAAAATGTTAGTGTCATAAAATTTTCTTTTACAGTTGTGTATTCTGATATGTTTTTATTCCCCAATAAGAGAAAAATGTGTCATACCAACAATTTTGGTGTGGAACATTATCACCCTTTTTGAAAAAATAATAATGGATTAAATTTAGAGTACTTAGTCCAATAGTCAAAATTTAAAACGTCCCAAACTTTATTTTTATTTATTCATAAGAACAATAATAATTTAAAAAATTATATTATCCCTATATATCTGTCTATCTATCCACACATCCACTTATTTGTCTACCGCTGCCACCAATTGCAGAAGATATTTTCGGCGATGGCAACTTTTCTCTAAAATAATAATTTATACTTCTCACCAATATATTTTATTAATTATTTCCTTAAAACCAAAACAGAACAATCATTCGACTTGATGTCATATACTTTTTTACAAGCGCACTTTCACTGATTTTTTCTTGAATTTATCATTAGATTTTTAATTTAGTTTAACATTTTCTCAATTTTTATTTATTTATTTTAAATAGGTGACTTTGCATCCAACTTAACCAAAGAAACGACATATTCCTATAAAGATGTGAAACACAGAAAGGTTCAGACAAAATTGCAATTGGAGATTATGATCTAGAAGATGGACATGAACAATTTTAATATAAGAATTAGAATTGGTTAATAATGTTTTTTCTTTCGTAATAAAAAATAAAAATAAAAGAAAAAGGAAGCCCTGCGACTTAACCTTGAGCTAGCCAAACATCTATAAGACATGATATAAGACACAAAACTTGTTTTGTTTTGTTTGGGCTACATAGCCGAAGCCTACACTCCCTATAGATTAAGAGATGAGAAAAGAAAAGGGGAAAAAAAAAAATGATTAGAATTTTTTAAGAAAAAAAAATTATTGTGATTTCTCACAATTTTATTTTCATGAATTATGAATTAAAAGAAAAATTTTGATTTCTCACCAAATCACACCATTTTTTGTGAGAAACAAAGTTTAAGTTTGGCGTGATTTGACTTTCTTACTATTTCTTTTCATTTCTCATTAATCATCCAAATAAGCAATGAAAAACCTCCATTTCCCTATTTTTTTTATTTTCTCACTAAACCCGTCAATCCAAATGAAATGTGAATTCTTTAATTTATCACATTTATAATTACAAGCAGTGGTAGAGTTATATAAGAACCAAAAGAGACACGTGTCCTTCCTAAATTTTGTAAAAATTACATTTTTACCTATATATATATATGAAAATGTTGTTATTTTGCACACCCTAAATTGTACTCATGTCCACTCTAAATCATTTAAAAGCCCCTAGCATTTTCATTTTTCTTAGAAATTGACCTGTGCTATTTAGCCACTTAAAATATTGACTTTGCTAAAAACTCCTTTATATAGCCTATTTCTAATAGTAGGTAACGGCCTCCCTGACCTCTCTCTCTCAAATACAAAATAAGACTTCCAATTACTGTTGATTTTGTGCTAAAATTATGTGATTTTAAATGTGTACTTTTAAAATATTACTGGAAATTTAGAATCGATTAGTGCTGTTTGTTTCTGCAAATAAGTTTGTTAAGAATTATATCATTCCTTGAGCTATTTATTGGATTTGGATTTGTGCTCTGTTTGTTAAGTAATTTAATTTCCTTGAGCTATTTATTTATTTTTATTAGTGGCGTACTAATTGTGTGGTTAGAATGGATTGTAATTTTTTATGCCAAATGACTTATTATCTTAAATGTTGTAGATTATGGGAAAAACGTTTTTGGGGTTGTGATTGATAGTTGTGTGTGTTAATTTTCTGACTCGGCCATTAATTACAACGTAATTATGATGAATATGGTCTTATCTTTTCCCTAAACAAAAGTTTCTAACGAGGACGCATTCACAAGCACAGCATAAAAACTGTCATTGAATGAAATTCAACTCCATATTATTCACCTTGTATTCAGGTGAGTCATGGACTTAAATTTTTTTTGGTAATTCATTAACTTATTGACACAGCATCGTCCAAATTGAACTCCTAACTGCAAACCCTAATTACATCATATGCTGATATAATTTCTAATAATCCCATCTACTTTTATAATTAAAGTCCTTTAAAAAGGGTTACTAAATGAAACATTCTTCTACTAATAAACTACACGAGCGGTATTGTCTCAGCAAACTAATCTTTTATTGACCTCTTTACATGACTCTACAGAAGTCTAAACCATCAAAATCACAATAATAACCTTTCTCAATAACGAAACCATTATTTGATACAAAAGTCAAAAACACAAAGCTTTCAATGGAGACTGGGAAATTCAAAATTCAAAGTCCACGCCATTGTTTCAAACTTCTTCCAGAACATGTATAGTGAGTAATCACAACAGGCCCAGCCAGAAATAAAATAAATAATATAATATAAAACAAGATAGAAATTTTTTTGGTGAGGGACCACTTTCTATAAGGGCTTAATGTACTAACCTCCATGTCAAACAACTCCCAACTCCAACTCAAGTATAAAATAGTTTGAGATTTTGATCAGATTTAAGGGTATCTTCTTCTTTGTCTTTGTACTTCTACTTCATTCATCCAATCAGAGAGCCACAACAGACCTTTGTAACCATAATATGTTGCTGCAATCAGAGCCAACACAAGGGTAACAAATAGAAGCAGCCTCCACATGGCAGCAGTAAATTTCTGTTCAGAATAGTAGTAGATGTTAGGCAAATAAAGCAACATAGTTAAAAGCTTACTTTTGCTCTTTAACAAAGAATAGCACAAAACCTGAAGTCTTGAAATTTGCTTCGCTTCTTTTGCCCGTTCACGTCTTTTTCTTCGTTTTGGTACATAATTTTCAGCATCTGCCTCCTTATCCTTGGGGGGAAAAAAAAAAAAGCAACATGAAGAAAATAGATTTTAGCTAGGTGAATTCATTCACCAATAGAAAGCTATGGCACAATTGATAATTTTTTAAACCCAATATTAACCCAATAGTCATCCACGGTTGATCCAGTGGACGACCAGCTAGACCGGTGGTCCATTTTTATGGGCAGTGAGTGGGTTTGGTTCTGCAGGGACTTGGGTTGTTTTGTGGGAATTCATCGGCACACTTTCAGAGTTCATTGATTTACTTGCTTCACCTAATTCGATTGCTCTCACCCCATGTTTTAATCCAAATTAATTATCAGATGTTCATTATATTGTGGTATGACGTTAGGAATATTACATGTTATTGTAATATTGAGTGAAAAAAAAACCTTCAGAAAAAATGTAGCTATGTATGAATTTTGAGATTGTAAAATTGTAAAGAGGATATTTTTGACAAAATGATCATAATAGTTGGTTGAACTTGGAAATGAAAGGTCAGATGAGAGTTTTGGAAAGAGGGTTTGAGAAGGAAAATTTTTGGGTTTGAATTTAACTAAAATCTTCCTACTTAGTATCATCATGTTGCGTTTTGAACCCAATATTGTTTTGCGTTGTTGATTTAATTATTCATTGTGGTTTGTATGTCACCAGTAGGCGTTATGTGGTTGACGGATAGTGTAGATCTCGGTTGTGTATAAGCTTGATTGGATGATGTGGAAGTTCATCCTCCAATTAGAGCCCTGGAATGTGCTGTGCAGAATAGGAGGCTAGTCACCACCTAGTGTACCTGAAGAGGAAGGGGGAATGGCCCATTATAGGATTTGGAAGCCTAGGGTGAAGCCCGTGGGTTCAAAAGTGTTTTGGTCCCATAAAGTAAATACACACCCATAAACACATTTACGTTCGAAAATGTTTCTTAAGAGGATAGTTCAAAAGAGTTTTGGTCTCATAAATGTACGAAAAATTATTCTGCTGCATAACCAAAATTAGTCAGCCCGTGACACCAAACCACCCCACCTTATAAACTATCCAGTTCAGCACCCTCAAACTATCCTCTTAAGAAGAGACCAGCCGAGGTCCTTTAATACATCAAGCCCATTAGACCTAAATCCAATCCACATCTTAAAACTCCCAGACCCAACCAACTCAAATTCAGCTCAAACCCTATTCTTACTTGGGCAAAAACCTAGTCAGATCTTAAATTCCATACAGCCTGTTTTTAAAACCCAAACCAGATCTCTTAAATTAAGCCCAGTAACCAGCCTTTTCCCGAGTCCAATCCAATCGTAAAGTCACTCCAACACCAACACATACCCAATCCAAAAACCCATATCTAGCAGAACCAGCCTTACCCAATGTATATATATAGCACACTTCCTTTACATCCAGTCCGACACCTAATCCCAGTGCCTCCCAAAACTACACCCCAACTACAAATAGCCCACTTACCTATTCACCATCAAACAAGATTACTAATGCAGAAATGAATTCCAAGTATGAGAACTTAAACCAAGATGTGCAAGAGATGAAAAAAAACATTAACCCAAGTGCAAGCTGCATTAGAAAAAATAACTCTTACATTGGAAGATAAGGGAAAGGCTACAACTATGGACCTTTGTTGACTCAACTGCCACCTCCTATTTTTGTGTGTGGACACGAAGTACCAGTGGATCATTGCCTGACTGATGTGGATAGAGGTGTCAAGTTCAGAGTATTGTACATTAATGGAGACCACGATCCAGAGGTATTTTTTTATTGGTTACATAGTTTAGAGAGGTTTTTTCGATGGTACCACTTGACAAAATAAAGAAAGTTACTGTTTGCTGAGGCAAAATTGAAGGGAATATCTAGGATTTAGTGGTTTAAATACCAGCGAGACCATTACGCAGCTATACGGAATTGGGAAGATCTGAAAATTGCAATTAATCGTTATTTTGTTTCACCGATTACAAACAATGAGTTCATTTGCAGTTTACTTAGTTTAACACAAGGAACAAAGTCTTTGGAAGGTCCAAGTTTCCATGGAATGAGGATGTCATGATTTCCATGAACTGTCAAGGACTAAATCTGCAAATCTCTTGTGGTTTGGCTGCTAAAAGACTTTACCACATGAAAGATGTTGTCCAGGTGAGAAGGTACAGAAGGCTCCTATGCGTTCCCTAGTGGACACCCTTACAAGTGAGGAATTTTGTGGAACCCATATGTAACACACTTTCTGATCTGCCTCTCCTTTCTACTCCTAGTCCTTTTCAGCCTTCGTATGGAGGTAACAAGTCCAAGTGTTTTAATTGTCAAGGTTTTGGACATCAAGCTCAAAATTGCCCTTCTCCCAAGATTAATGTGCCAATTAAGCCAGTTGCAGTGCTTGACAACAAAAATATTGGTATTCTTGGCCATGTACCTAACTCAATGGAGTTGAGTTCTTTTCAGAGAATGAGAATTTATGGCATAGCCCTTGACTATTTGGAAGCCCGTTGTAGGATTTGGAAGCCTAGGGTGAAGCCCGTGAATCAGGATACTCTAGAGTGATTTTCATAGAGTGATTTTTCATATGGTTGAGATTTTTTTTAAAAATAATTATCAATACTATTGTACCCCAACTTAATACTATTGTACCCTCGAAGAGCATGGATTGGAAAGTGTTTTGGTCTCATAAATGTAATTGGTAATATCATTATTTAGCTAGGATTTAAATTAAGTATTAGTTAGATATTTTGATTTTGTTTCCAATATTGTTAGGTTCTTGTTTCCTAATTCAACTAGGGTTTTAACCTATAAATATTAGGTCTTTGACATTGTAATGGTCAGTTTTTGAATTATTATGATATTGAGTTGAGCAAGTTTGTGCTGCCGTTTTGTGTCTTCCCTCTCTCTTCTTTAGGAATGTACAAAAAAAATTAGGTGGAACCAATAAACCGATCCAATCCAGGCTAAACAGCCTGTTTTGTAAAGATTTTAACGTGTATCTCTTATCTTTATTCAAACATTCACTTCAAAATTATCAAAACATGTCTCCAGTTTCCTAGAATTTCACAAAATTTTACCTCAAATCCCTTCATTTCAAACCCACTCACCCAAACAGAGCCTTAAAATAGATAATTTCATGATTTCAATTTCAACACATTTCATTTCAGTTGTAAGTCCACTGCTTTTACTGATCATTCTATATTACATGACCAACTAAATACTTGAAAAATATTCAAATTTCAGTAGGTTTTCAAACACCCAAATAGTTAAATAGTCAAATGACAAGTCAACAGAAAAAAATAGTAAATGGTTGTACTTTCTAGTAAAGATGAACAATACTGCGATTCAGAAGTTTTGATAGTTGATTTGCTACTTATCAAATTATTTTATGTTGTTGACACTAGCTAAATAAAGACTCAATCCAATTTTGTACTAAAAGCACAAACGAATGCAGAACAGAGGGGCTTCCTTTTTAGAGAATTCTAATCTGATTTTTTTTTTATATGATGGAGAACTCCAACCAGCCTGTGTGTATTGCTTAAGCCGGAGTGTTTTTGCACCCAGTGAGAGTCAAACATGAGACCTCTAGGAATTACCCCATAGTAAAGCTCCCATGTTCAAAACCTTCACCACTAGCCCACGCGTATCATCTGATGCTCCCAAAATAAATGATGAGGCAGGTTTCACTTGAAAATATAAGGATTACCTTTAAAACTGTAGATTTGCGGTGTTGCAATTCTGTGTCTGCAACCTTTACCTTACTCCTGCAACCTGAATTGCACGGAAGTAGTCCAAGTCCATATTGATTTTTAGATATATCTTTCAGATCACTTCTGGCACTGTGATAGGCTGCTTGAACTTCATGACACAACCACTCCTTTTTTAGGGTTTGGCATCCACAACGAACAGTAACCTTTAAGAAGAAATAGATAAAATTGCAAATTAATAGAGACAGGATAGGTGACAAAGTGAAATTGAACTACAATACTCAAAAAAAAAAAAGAAAAAAAAAGCCAACTGCATGAGGCAATTATAATAACTATAAATGTTAAATTTCTCAGAAAGAAAATTCTCTGCTTACAATAGATGTAGTGAAATGATTTATAATTTCAATTTTCAACAAATAAGAAATAGGAGCTTGTATTATTGTTTCTAAACCACATTTGACATCCTGATGTCTCTTTCATGCAGATGAGAATTCTTGAACATCCAAATAGATCACAATATCAGATCAGAGCAAGTGCTTCTACAAAACAAACTCATTAATCTACTGTATGTGGAGAAACATGTATTAATCTACTGACAGTTATATAAGCTAACAAAATGAAAACTTAATTTTTATATGAGCTAACAAAATGACAACTTAATTTGTAACTCGAAAAAATGTTGGATTACAAAGATAATGTAACCTTGTTAATTTACCAGTAAATGAGGAAATCGTCCTTTTCACATAGTAACTAAGTTTATGCTTTAGAATTCTCCTCTTTCAATTAACAGGCCACTCAAAAGGTAAAATTAGGGCTATTTTTGTTTTTTTTTTTTTTGGCTATTCTTATTTAACTAACTAGAGGTGATTAATGAGCTCAGAAGCTGCTCCCCTCCAATGTGGGATAAGATTAAGGCTCAATTAATTTATGCTAGTCCTGTTTAACTACAGAAAAATGCTAAACCAACCACTGATGAGTGAGGGATAAACTTGGTATATGCCAGATTTCATTTGAAAAAGGAAAAAGGAAAAAAAACTTGGTATATGCCAGGTTTCCTAGTTCTGGGATAAGATTTCACAAAGGAAAAAGGAAAAAAGGAAATGTTATTTTGGGATAAGATGAATAGATTCATTTGTCACAGACAAAAGGAAATGTTTCATTTTAAAAAGGAAATGTTATTGCTTTTTTTTTTCCTTTTTCCTTTTTCACAGACAGATAATGCCAGATTTCACAATAAACTTGGTATATGCCAGGTTTCCTAGTTCTGTTAGTCCTTGTTCTTCTTATTAGCCACTCCACAAAATCTTCTACATAAAGCCATGAGAAATACATTGGAACAACTACAATAAAAATCTCCTCTCTTGAATATTTGACAAGAATAGCAAAAGAAGAAACTCAAGTATAATTATAACATGAATAGATTCATTTGCACATGAATTACGACTGAATGACACAATGATAAAGTAATGCCAGCATGATGAATTTTGAAACACTGAAATGTTACCTTTTCAGAGCACTTCTCAGGTGCTGGGCATTGACCAGGATGACATATCTCTGGGCATAGATGTGTACAATAGGGTAGCTTTCTGCATATCAAAGTATGAAGAGATGCGATGCTGTAACGGTAGATGGAAGTGTTAGGGGACGGGGTAGGCCTAGATTAACGTTGACTAGCGTTATAAATAGAGATCTGAATCTACTTAATTTGACTAATGAAATGGCCTTTGATAGGGCCGCGTGGAGAAGAAGGATTCATGTAGCCGACCCCATTTGATGGGACTTAAGGCTTCGTTTGGTTTGGTTTGGTTTGTTAGTTACCATAGTTACTAAGCAATTAATTCACATTCTCACAATTTTTTTAGGTATTTAACATGAGTGTGAACATTCTATTCCAATAGAATGTAGAACAATTAGATGGATCTGCCCAATATGATATTGAAAAGCTACATTAATAGTACTCATCCCTTTTAGGCCAAGTTTGGGAACACCCCAAAAAGCCAAAAAGCCAAAAAGTTACTCAAAAAGTTAAAAAGTTATCACTATTCACCAAAAGTCAACAATAAAAAAGTGAAAAATTAATGGTTTGTATTTTATAACATTTGTTAGTTGCCATAGTTACTAAGCAATTAATTCACATTCTCACAATTTTTTAGGTATTTAACATGAGTGTGAACATTCTATTCCAATAGAATGTAGAACAATTAGATGGATCTGCCCAATATGATATTGAAAAGCTACATTAATAATACTCATCCCTTTTAGCATCCCCTCCTTTCTTTTGGGGGGGCTCCTTTCTTTTTTTTTCGCCCGGGGGGGTAAAGCTAAAATGAATGACTACCTATGGCAAGGTCCTCCACATGAACGAACAGTCATTTGTTCCTTTTCAGACATGCTGTTGTAGTATAGACACTCAAAAACATGGACCATGGAACCACAGTGACATGATCGTCTTATCAGCACTTTGCAAGGAGGACATTCACCAAGATGACATGGCCGGGGGCACGGATGTGGACATGCAGGCTGTCTCTCCTGAATGAAGGCAATGGAAAAATAAAGCAATGTAAGAATTTCAAGTGTATGGTGTTGCTGAAACGAATTCGATGCTATAGGATAGAAATATCTGACGTCAAAAATGTTACATGGACTTGGGTAAAGATATCGGTGTGTGTATCTACAGGTTGGACTCCTTAAACCTTAAATTTAAGGGTATGTGGTTTGGGCAAAAAAATGTCATACTTCTCTATTTTAATCTATTATGTGAGATAAAATGGTATTATATATAACATATAGTGTCAAAAAGACATTTCTAGCAATTATCTACTACGATTATAAAAGTGTGAAGAACCTGTCATGTTTTCTACTTTTTTAAATCTCAATTTTACCCTCTCAAATCTACTATCTTCTAAAAGTCATGAAAAATCCTATATAAACCAACTATCTCTTCATTTTTGGAGTTGAACACTCAAAAACAATATATCTGCTTCCAAGAGTCCTATATAAATATAAGCAAACAGTCTTCCTTCTTACAATAAAAAAAAAAAGTCTCCCTATTTTTCACATTGATGATGATTGAAATTGAATAGTAAAAAACAATTACTCTTTCTTATTTTTTGTGCTGCTTCTATTACTGATATATATAATATTTACAATTGTCCATCATGGATCAAATCACTATGAATAATTTTGGTTGAATCTTAAAGTTGTATACATCCATTCAAATCTAGACAGAGGAAAACGCATATGTTTTTAAAACAGAGATTTGTGTTGCATCTTAAAAATTAGCAAGTTATCTTCATACACTTTATTTTTGTTTAGATTTGAATTTTTGAACTGTAATATTTGACATAATACTTTAATAACCAAAGTATGATGTCAAAATTATAAACAAGAACCACTTTAGTTGGTTTCATCTTTTAAATTTGTTTTCTAGTTTTTTATTTTTCATGTTTTTGTAGTTCATTTATCTTGTCTCAGTTTTAGTTATTAAAGATGCTGAAATTTCTTCATATTTTATATTTAAATTATACTTTTACATGAATATCTAATATCTAATATCTAATAATCTAAATAAAATTAAAAAGCAAAATATTTATAAAAAAAATTATAAATTCGAACATGTACTGATTTTTTATTATTATATTTTTTTGTTATTATTATTATTACTATTATTATTATTATAACATTTTTTTCAAAAAAAAATACACAACAAATTATTTTGTAAGTCTATTTTGTAAGTGTCAAAAACAAAAACAAAAAAAGAACAAAAAAATTAATTTAAATCAAAAAATTCAAAACAAAATTTTGAAAAAAAAAACCAAACCAAACACTGTAAACTTTCTCCTTTTTTTTTTTTTAAATCTTTGTTCACTAATCTCTAATTTTACATAAATTCCTTTCAATGTTTATGTGAATTTAATAATCTAATTAAAAAATAGTGCATACACGGAAACAATATAAAAATGTAACACTAAGGTAGCGTTTGGTTGTGTTTTGTAAATGTGATTTGAGAGTATGAGTTGTATTTTGAGTTTGTGTGTTGTGGAATTATGATTTGAGATTTCACTTGTGATATCTTAATGTCAATGGCTACATATATAAATGTATAAAAAACATATAAATGTAAATAATATATGTTACTGTATTCATATATTGTCAATCCGTGATGCTATATTACCATCAGATACTTTAATTTTCTAACATATATCACTTAAGTAATATAATTATATTTGTTAAGAAAATCCTGCTAAATTGTGTATAGTTATGCTTGTGCAAACCAATATTTATAACAAACCAATACTTTGCAGAACACCTCCATCACGACAATAATTGTACTTTTTTTCCTTCACAGGAAAAATCACATTATTAAGGGAAAATGAATTTTGAAATTCATAACAACATGATATCGCCTCAATCTCTTACTCATCAAAATATTTTTATTACAATGAGTTATAATTGTGAGCAAGAAGATGGTGAAACAAAAACTATAGAAGATCTATTGTAACATACTCTCCAAGGAAAGTTAGACAAGCTAAAGCAAAAATTATCCTATATGTTGTGAAGTTCAAGAAAAACAAATGTAACTCATGCACACATTTTAGTCAAATTATAAGGAAAAAAATCAAATGATGCCCAAACATTACTGCAGCAACTCAATGATGTAAAAAGTAAGTATATCAAATAAAAAATTTCGATCAATTTTTGTCATATGCTAATTACTAACATATGACATAATAAATTATGTAACTTGACAGTTTCACAAAAATGATCCTATATAAACACTTATAAGCATAGATCCATAAACATCGTGAAAATAATTATGAAATTCTTATATCGATCAAAATATTAATGTACAATATCATTTCATTTTCTTAAAAAAAATATTCCACATTTTCTACATAAATAAAAATATACTAATAACTAATATTATATTTTTTATTATGCAATATATTTGTGGCACAGAAAACGAGACTCAACAACTCTTGATGTATAAAAATATATTACATTTTGATATTAATGCATTTTTACACCAATAATATGCAAATAATATGCAATAGTGGGTTCAATGAATTTGTATTATGAGATGAACTATTAAACAAAATTGTGTAATTGTGTAATTAATTTCATGCTTTCAATTGTATTACAGGTACGGATTACTAAAAATTGAAGTGAAAAGCTGATAGAAAAATATTTGTGTAACACTATATATTTAAAGGAATTGTTTATTGTTTAAAATAAGATAACAATCTAGCTTATGTTTATAAAATTTCTCATTTATCATTTAAATTCTTCAACCAAGTATATATTCATTTCTTGCTTAGTTGTATTTTGGATACAGATCAATTTACCCACACAAAACTCCATACTTTGTGTACATATCACATACATACGTATAATTACAGTACTAACAGTTGATGAAAAATCATGTGTCACGCGAAACGCACATGCCCAACCACTGGTACAACAATAAGTACATATAATAATAGTATTAAATACATATATATTAGAAGTGTCTGATGAAAAATATCCGACACATATCCATCACATATCCTTGTCCAAGTGTCGGGTGTCCAACATGGGTATTTGATTATTTTAGTAAATTGAAACATATTTTCAATGCAAAAGATGAAAAGGGTGCAGTATAAAACATGAAAGTCCATATCAATGAAACTGATACAAAATCTAACCTTTTGGCAAGGAAGATCACACTCTTCACAGAATTCACCTCTCCCATGTCGGCCTAATGATGAAGACTGACTCTTGAGGGCATGGCAAACTTTAGTACAATAATGATTGCCACAAGGAAGAAGATTTCCACACAAATTGTTGCAAGAATATTCTGCTATATTTGAGCAAACCATCTGTAAGGAGGAATAAAGTAGAACAATAAACGTATGTATGGAAAATGATAATACAACACATCATAATCAAGTACACAAAGTAAGCAAGTTGAAATGTTCATATTGTGCTTGCAAGAAGATCCAAGACCAACCATCCTCTCTTCTCCCACGTGTTCACCAACACATGACCTCCACACTAGTTCTGGGCAAGGAGGACACGGTGAGCCCGGTATACATTCACTGTGATGTTTTGACTTCTTTTTCTTTGGCTTCAATGTGAATTCTGGATTAGGAGGAGGTTTCGGGCCATGACACCTAAATGTGAAAAAAGGAAAGTGAAAAGAACTTAGAGATACATAAAAGTGGTATTGTACATTAAAGGGTGTCAGGTAAAATCACATGCATAAAATTTTTAAAACCTTAATTTGCAATTGTGGCCACAGGGGTATTCTTCTTCACAAATTAACCGGCATGAGGGGCAAGCTCCATAATGGCATTTGTGTGGCTGGAGAAAAATACACAAGCATCACTGCAGAATAAACATCTTTACCAAAATTTTAATGAAATTTTTTGACAAATACTAAAATTTTCCCTCACCAGTAGAAGAGACGCAACTACAAACTGGAATGAAAATTTTTAATTTTGATAAAAAGATCCACTATAGATGAATGGACAAATAGCCAAGTAAAAATTGCTATAACCAATATCTAAATTCAGCTGTTTGATAACTGAAGGGCCTCAACTTCTTAATTCCATAAGTTTAGTCACCAAAAATGAGAATTAGGATTTACATACATTAAAATGCAAAACTAAAAACAATAAATTATAAATGAGTGATCAGTCTATATATGGTTTCGAATTTAGAGAATATGTATGTCACAATTTATGCAGTAATAAATGCATTTTGCCAGATCTAGAAATTTCTCATAAGCCGCAATTGGAAAAGATAAATGTCTCTGCAAGAGACCAAGCAGGAAGAGCCAACACTACCTTGCAATTTGGTCCATGCCTGCATAAAGGAATTATACAACATGGTTTAGGACATCTAGGGGGCTTTTGTTCTTTTTCGGTACCACAAGGAACCTGATAAAAAAATAAAAAGCAAAAAACATATAAACATATAGAAAGAACACTGTGAATGTGTAGAAAGATATATTGGGGAACAGAAGTTGAAAACTCAATACACCAAATCAGATATTCTTATGGAACCAAAGTATATTTAATTTTAAAGTTATGGAAAAAAGTGTATATATAAAAAACAAAATAGAGCAATAGTAGGATTTCAAAAAGAAAAGCGTTCAATCATAAAAAAGATTTTACAAAACTAGTATAAGATTTTTATTGCATACATGCAATAATGCAAATGAGGGTTACAAAAAACACTAGTACACTTTTGTTCCAGTAAACTAAATTTACAGAGGTCAACAATCAACTAACTCTACCCACACTTACCCACAATTAGAAAAGCACTATTGTAGCCATAACAAACTCCATTTAACAAAGCCACATCATCACTTCTTCTAGATCCTAGAAAATACATTTTGTTTAGCAATTATTTCAATTTTTTTTTTCCTTTTTTGGGTTCTTTGGAGTCCTTGATTCAATTGAGTAACCTCCTAAAATTTTATTGTTCGTTAAGCTCTCGCACGGTCTCTTCGGCACCAACAAACATTCAAGCAAGCCAGCTTTCTACCAAGGTTGTTAAAATCGGGATCCTACGTTGGATCGTTGGAGGTGTTTATAGGATCGGATCGTAAGATCGGATCGAGGATCGTAAGATCCTACCGAAAAAGACAAATTACATAATAATTTAATTTAAATAAATATTTCTTATAACGTACACACAAAATGAACATATATTTTGTTAAAAAGAAGTGAAGATATTGTGAAAAATATAATACTCCATGTAAAATGTACATATAATATTATGCAATAGAAAACTGTTAAAACCTATCACCTACTTCACCCACTTAAACCTACTCCACTAAACCTAACCCACTACACCACTACCACCTCACCTACTCCACTAAACCTAACCCACTACACCACTACCACCTCCACTTCACCTACTCCACCTACCACCTACTACCACCTACTCTTCTATATATAGGAATCATTGTAACATTCAATATCAATCAATCAATAATACATAAATTTTAACATGGTATCAGAGCCATAAGATTTAGGCCTGTATTTTGTTTTCTCACCGGCGGGCAGCCGGCCGGCAACCTTGCCTTCGCTGCCCGCTGGAATTTTGTACACATACCTTCACTCTAGATACTTGTTCCTTCCTTCAGCCTTGGAGTCCAGAATGTCAGGGAGAAAAGCAACAAAACAAATGGCAACAAAAAGTTTTGGCTGCTGTGCATTAGCTCTAACACCACCTCGCCGAAGCAAACCCAAAATCCCTCTGGGACATTTCGTCGAACACCATGTCTGCAACAATCTGGGCTGGTTACAACTCATCCTTGCTCACAGATTCTTCCCCCATAAGTTCGTCAAGGGAGAATTCATCTTCCTCAAATATTTCTCCATCCTTACCATCCCATGGTTTGGTCTTCACAATGCTTTTCAAGATCTGGCTGCTTACCAGCAGCTACCCAAACATAGCTGTAAGGACTCCTTTTGAACTTCTCTGCAAGTTTTTCATAATTTCCTCCCTCTAAAGAACAGGACTCCAGGAAAGCAACTTTACTGGCACCAAAATTATGCCCACAAGTTTCTGTAAACTCAGAAATCAACATACTTTCCATCACCTCTTCATTCTCTGAAGCAGCAATATAGGGGAATGCCAAAGAAAAATTGGCCCTTGTAAAAGAGACCTTGAGAAAGTCCACAAGTTCTGAGTCTGCATGTTTGGCTCCAAAAATATCCGACGATTGTAACTCTCTCCCAACAAAAAGAAGTGCAAGATCCAGAGGCTGTTGAGCTTCATTCCCCGAACACAGTAAGCTAGAACAGCCCCCTTTCAGACATCACAGAATTGGCTAACTCCTTTGAAGAGAGAGTTTGATAATTTACAGCTTCCTTCACTCTGATGTTTAACAATCCATCTTGGTGAGGCGACCAGAGAAACGCAGGTACCGTGGATGGGAGGGTCAGCCCCGACGGTAGCTGTGCCACGACAAGCAAGATTGTCACCACTCCCACTGCAAGATTTCTCATCATACTCCTACGCTGGACTGAAGATCCTGAATCAGAGCTTCGAGTATAAAAACTAATCCAAGGCCTTTGAAAATTGATACTTGTGGGGAAGAAAAAGGTCAAACAGAGAGGGGTACCTGTTCTGGATCTGGATCTGGCCAGATCAAACTCAAGGAGGGCAATCTCTCTCTCTCTCTCTCCATGGACCCAACATCATCATCATGCACCCACTCAATCTCCCTCTCTCTGGGTCTCGGTTGGAGGAGGAAAACATGGGGGACACCGATTGGTGCTCTTGATACACTCTTGTTCCCCACTTTCTTTATTATATATATATATATATATATCTCTTTTTATTATATTATATTAAAAAATAAAATAAAAAATAAAAAAAATAAAAAAAAAAAATCATCATCTCTCCTCCGTTTGATTTCAAACTACATTATTTTTATTTATTTTCTCCAAACCACTTTCCTTATTTCCCCCATCTTTCATTTTTGATTTCAAATATATTTTTATTATTTCTTTCTTTATTTTTCTTTCACATTATTTTTAATCTTTTTCCAATTCCATTCATACCATATAGCTTTGCACACCAAACCATATTTTATTCATCTCAGGGATCAACCCCGATCACAATTTTACACACACACAAAAAAAAAAAAAAAAAAAAAACAACAACAACAACAAACAAACCACCACACAACACCAAAAGCTTTGTTTTCTTTTCTGCAGACGGCACCCACCGACCTCACTTCCTCTACTCTGCCGCCGGTCTCTTCTTCTTGCCTCCGTCCGGGCGGCCCTTGTCGGTGCTGCCTCCGTTGTTTCCCACTCCACTGGGCACGATCACTACTCCCTGCTCCTCCATGCAGCATATGGCGACCTCCAAATCGGAACATAACGGTGGCCTTCCGCTTCAGTCCTTATTTCCGCCTTTAGCACACTTATCTCTGCTCGCGCATCCTTATACATGGTTTTGAGCAGAGCCAGTTGGGCGTTTAACTGCTGCACCTCATTTGTTCCTACTCTGCAGCCGGTGCGACAGGTTGTTGGACCGCCGTCACGTCTCACACATGACTTCAAAGTATACTGATTTGGCCTCAATATCAGTTTGCACCGCCATTTTTTGCTCCACCGACCGCATCGGAAAGTTCAACGGACGAAAACCAGAGGCGCTTGGTTGAGGTTCACTGGCCACGTGCACCAGTTATCTCTCTTGTGTGACTCGTTGAGGTCGAGGAAAGAGTGAGTAGACCACGGGACGAAGAGGCCATATTCTGGGTAGCTGAACGGGAAGACGAGGCCATTTATGGGTTGCTGAGTGTTTCAGAGAAGGGTTGTTACAGAATGGCAACAGAGTGTTCCAGAATCTCTTTCTCAGGAAACGGAAGAGTTTTTTTTCAAAGATTTTTCGGCGGGGTTTCAGACTGGTTTTGCACCAGCCTCCGCCTCAACCTTGGTTAAAATAGCCGAAGGCAGACACGCGCATCATGCGCCTCTCGGCGCTCGCCACAACACAAGGTGGGCGTTATCCTTTTGATGGCACGGTCTTTTTATGGAATTGGCACTGCCTTTGAAAGATTGGGCACACCTTTTGAATGGGAGGCTTGTTCGACTTTTAAAAGTCGTCGACAAGACTCTGTAAACTGTCCCGACATTGATTCCGTTAGCTCTTCATGGTCCGACAAGACTCTGTAAACTGTCCCGACATTGATCCCGGTTAGGTTTCTACAAGGGTCCGACAAACTCTGTAAACTGTCTTACCGAACATTTGATTCCGTAGCTCCTGTCATGGTCCGCAAGACTCTGTAACTGTCCCACCATTGATTTTCGTAGTAGTTCTACAAGGGTCCAGCAAGCTCCGTAAACTGTACAACAACTGTCACAACAATTGCTCTGCTTACAACGGTCCGACATACCCATAAACTGTCTTCTACATCGTTTGACACAACCATCCAGTGTCCTCGGTACAACGTTATGACACCACCATACCAGTGTTTCACCCGGTCTGATCCAGACCATAAGCCAGTCGTCTCCTATCCTCTTTCTTTTAGTGTATTCGTCTATTTTTCTTTGTTTGTTACTTCTCTTCAACATCAAGTTGGGTAGTTCCTATCCCGCCTTGAGTTTGCGGGTTGACTGTTAAAACCTTCCACCTACTCACCCACTTAACCATACTACCACTAAGGCCTAACCCCACTACCCACTACCACCTCACCTAACTCCACTAAACCTAGAACCCACTATCGACCACTTACCACCTCCACTTCACGCGTACTCCACTCTACACCTACTACCACCTACTCTTCTATATATAGGAATCATTGTAACATTCAATATCAATCAATCAATAATACATAAATTTTTACAAAAACTCGATGGTAAAAGTTCTGTATTTTATCAAAAAAGAAGGTGAAGAAGAAGAAGAAGAATTCTATAACAAAATACTTTACAATGTACAATAATGCATAAAAAGTGAAGAAAAAATATTTAGCAAAATTGGACATGAAAATAGATTAAGAACTTAAAAGAGTAACTTAGTCGAATGATAAAATTTGTCGTTAGCATCCCTGGTGGAGCGGATTCGAGTCACAAAAATAATTTCTCCAGAAATTGGGATAAAGTTACAATCATCTTACCCTTCTTAGACTCCGCTAAAGCTAAGTTTGTTTTTCCGACTATTTAATTTTCTTAAATTACCGCATTTGAATGTTTGTTTCCTAGTTTGTTTTTCTTAGTCTATTTGATTCAATACTACTTAATTTTTATTATTTATTTTGACAACATAAATTGATATTTAGACAACAAATATAAAATTTACAACAAAATATGTCATGCAATACAAAACAAGGCTTGTAAATTGGATCGGATAGGATCGGATTCAGATCGGGATTCCACGATCCTATAAGATCCCACTACCAGGATCGAAAGATCCTACTTATAAGGAGTTTTTTACACGATCCGGATCGATTGCACTCAAATGGATCGTAAGATCGTAGGATCGTAAGATCCGGATCGAGATTCTGATAACCATGCTTTCTACCCATGTTCAGATGTCCAATAATTGAAAAGCCAGCATTTTCATCTCTTAAAAAGCCATTTCTCTAAATTCTCTGTCGGCAAATTTTTTTTTTTTTTATACCTAACAAATTATTTTAGCAAACAAATCACCTACTATTTATTATTCTTAATTTTATTTAATAATCTAAGGTGAAAAAAAGTAATTCCAAGCTGTTGTGTTCTTTTTATGTTCACACTCCTTTATTATGCTTGGGCAAGGGATTTGTACATCAGTTTGTAAAACAGTGACAATTCATGGGATTTGAAGTTCTAGACATCCAAGAACCCGTCACAAATGGAAAAGAATATACTATAGCCTTCACTGTTGCTATCATCTCTATATAACTTTTTCATGACATACATAATACATTGGTTGAATAATATTGTGCAGATAGCCTCCCCCACTGCTATCATCTCTTACAATTTTTGCATAACATGCATTGGTTAAATATCTCAGCAATGTTATAGTGCCTTCAGTTCAGGAAGTTTATGGCATGACAATTTTACTGAGGTTTGAAGTACAACGAAAAAATTAAAGGGGTGCATGAAACCATTGGAGACCTATATAAGTCAGAAGATTTGGTCATGTTCATTCCCAGTTTTCAAATGGGGTCTTATGGATCTGCCCAACATTCAAATCTCTCACAAAAACATTTGTAAAGCACTTATTTATTTCTTTTTTTCACTTTTTTTTTTTTAATATAATTTTTCTTGTGCATAGGAAAGCATATAGGTTCTTTAGGTACAAAACCCATCTCCCTCGGGTAAAACTTGTAACTGGCATACTGTAAATATCATGTGCACAGATTGTGTTGTAACAAAAATTTTACCTGCAGTATGAAACTTGTGATGTAAAAGGCACTTTTTCTTTTTTTTGGATAAATCAAAAGCACCAATACAATTCTTTAGGTACAAATTACAATAGAGTGAATTGCATAATCCACAATAACTAAGCTCTCACCTCAAAGTGTGTCTCCCCACATGCACATGAAATCGTCACCATCACTGGGCAAGGAGCACAAACACCTCTACAAAAAAAAAAATACTATTTAATCATCATCGTACATTCATTCCCTTTGTATACCATACAGAATTGTAATTTACTATTCACTTTTCATAAGTTTCCGTCAGCTAATGTTTCAAAACATAATAATATAAAGATATCCTTATAGTATTAAACAATGATGGATATTGTAGAACTACACAAATGGCCTATCCATCAGATCACACTAGTTCCCCCCTTCTTCCCCCTGTTCATTTGAGCATATTTAAGTGATATCAACACAAACCATCCGTAGCACACTATAGCCAGCATACTAAAGGACCCCACAAAACTAAAATGGCTAAGTCATTGAACAAATTATCAATTACTTCCATAATAGAGGTGGTGTAGGACTGCCCTCACATATTGAAAATGCCTTTTTTTTTTTTTTTTTTTTTTTTGGGGGGCTACTCAGACAAGACGAATCAAAAAATATCACGCACACAAAATTGAAAACAAAAATATCCTCCAAACAGCTAAGGACAGTAACTACAATACCATACTAACAGAAACAGTCATTAATTTTAAGAATGGGTTTCACTATAAAGAAGGCACAAACTATTTAGTGTAATCCCTAGTTTTAACTAGTGGACTAAGAACCATTCTCTCCCACACTGAGAAAGCAAATTAGAACAGTATAACATACCTATGGCATGGAGCAGGACATTTGTGATTCTTACACCGAAGCCTTCTATCACAAATCTGATGCTTTGAAAATTTAGTACAATCATAGAAAATCACGAATAGAGAAAGAAAATGAGACTTAAATAGTGACACACCTCTGAACAAGGCGGGCAGTCCCCATCACAACAGCGCCTCTTACAAGCATGGCGCCCACAATCTCGTACTCTCTGACACTTCCTCTCACATGCCAAATCTTGATGACAAGGAACCTATTCTAGATTCAATTCAGGGTGTCCTATTTACATGCATTTCTTCAAAAACTCAATATAATAAGGCACCGTTTGTTTCCTAATTTTTTGGTGCTTGGTTGCACATAACTTAAGCATAAAATTTTACAAGTAAATTTTTTGTTTCCACCAAAACAAGGAAAATGACTTACAGATTTTATTTTGGCAAGTCATTTTACCTAGCCGCACACTGCTGGTGAGTATTCATAAGTGTTCTTGTTTTGCACAGGTGTGAGTTGGGTTAGGGGACTCACGGGTTTGGGAGGGTTGTGATGGTTCAATGGCTGTGGTAGTATGGTTTCTGTTCAGTGTGAGATCAGCCCAAATTTCAGCCACAGAGATCAATTGTTTTAGAAAAAATATTTTACCGGCCAAACACCAAAAATAATAAACATGTACGGAAAAAAAATCTTGTAAAAGGTTTTACATGGAAAATATTTTAAAATGTAAAATGGCAAAACAAATGAAGCCTTAAAAAATTATATCAGAATAGGTAAGTTCACCTCTTTCCTCAAGCTCCCACACCGGCACGATTTGGTGACAACAACTCTGCAAGTCTCAATGCAAGGTCCCCTGTGACACCGCTCCGGGCACCTGTGGAAGCCACAACTCAACATCTTATCACAAGTTGCTCCACAAAGTGGCAATGGAACGTCGCAAGCAATCCCTTCATAGGCCCTCTTCCCACACGGGCATGTTCGCTTCCCTTGAAGCGGACATTCACCACACTCGCCCCAATGACACCCTCTGCTGCACAAATGCTTCTCACAACCCAACAACCTCTGGCACGGGACTTCACATTGGAAATTGCGATCACAACACTCTCTCTTCTCCTCCACCTTCCCACATTGGCACCTGTAAACCCCCCAAGCCCGGCACGGTGGGCAATCGCCCTCATGGCAAGTCTCTCCACACCGATGAGTCCCACAATCCAACAATTTCGAACATACGCCATTGCACGAGAAGTTCTTGAACCCGCATCGCCGAACATCCTCGACAGCGCCGCAAAAGCAATGGGATTTCACGAGCTTAGGGCACGAGGGGCAAGGACCGGGATGACAAAGAAGCAAACAGTAATGACCGCAATTGTGCTTCAACGGCCGATTACAAACCTCGCCGCACGAATGGGGTAAAATCCAGGGATCGCTAGGTGGATCTTCGAGTTTCTGACAGAAACAGAGGTATTTTCTGGGAATTAGGGTTTTGGGGTAGTCGATGCGGCATTTGGGGCAGTTCCAGATGGAGTCCTCGGCGGCTTTGGAGGCGGAGATGGGAAGACGAGAGGTGGCGCGTGAGGCGGAGAGGTCGGAGGACTGGCGGGCCCAGCTCTGGATGCAGAGGAGGTGGAAGACGGCGAAGCAACGGGAGGAGCAGGACCAGGTGGGATCGGAGAGGCGAATGCGCTCGAGGCATATGAGGCAGGAGAGGGCTCCGGAGCGAGATGAGGTTAAAAAAGATTGGATCTTGGAGAGGTCTGGAGAGGAGTGGCCGGTGAGCTCGATGTAGGATCTGAAGATGGTGTCGGAGAGGTCGTTGTGCCGGAGACCGCCTTCGGCTCCGGCGGCGGTGGGGCTGGTGTCGGAATCGGGTTCGGAATCTGATAGAGATGGGTGGTTGTGGTTGTGGTTGTGGATGGTGGAGATCATTTTGCGGATTTTGGAGGAAGTGAGAGGAGTTTCGAAACGAAAGCCGCACTCAGCTTTGTGCGTTTGCGATTATAACCGGTGGTTGGTGTTTCAATTCAAGTGTTACTTGCGCGGCCTGATGAATCTCTGAGTTTTCGCCTCCGTTTGGTTTCGTTTTAAAAAAAGAGTTTTGAAATGTATTTTAAAATAAAAAATTTTGTTTAGTTACAAATTTTGAAAATAATTTTAACATGATTTGTAAGTTTTTTTTTTTTATAATTGAATAGATAAGTATAAGAGAAAAATTGATTGATACGTAGAATGTGATAAGAATAGAGAGAAAGAGTGATTGATTAATGCGTAAAAAAAAAAAGAGAGAAAAAATAATTTTAAAAAGTGGTAAACCAAACATATATTTTTTATTTTTTAATCCAAAAGTTAATTTAAAAATTAAGCCAAACACTACCTTATTTTTACCCATGGCTATTAATTATTATTATTATCTCTAATAAGAGATAATTGTTGAATGGTTCAAGTTAAGGAGGATATAATATATTAGTTCCAGTAGATATTTGTTATTATTGAAATGTTCACCCTTTATGAAATAGTTTGATGAGAAATTCTTTTATTTGTTTCAATTTTATCTCTTAATTTATCTATTGACTTTTTTTAATCTGTTGATTTTTGTTAACTATCTGTTCAAATTTTTTCTTATTTGTTTAAATTTTTCCCCTCTCTATTTAATTTTTTTACCCTATCAGTTTACTTTTCTAATCTTTTCAATTCAAATTTCTCTTATCTATTCAAATATTTGTAAAAATAAAATCTATCTGTTGCAATTTATCTATTCAAAAATTCTACATGTTCAAATTATCTATTGAAATTCTACAATATTTTTTCTATTTGTTGAAAATGAACAGATAGAGGATTAAGAAAGAAAAAGAAATTAACCCTATTTGTTCTCCACTCTCTTCCAAATCAAATAAAAAGAGAATCTCCGATTGGATTTTATCATCACCATCATCATCAACAACAACAACAACAACAACAACACAACATATTTATTCAAAGCACTTCAACAGACAACTACACATACATACACAATCAACAACAATAAAAAAATATAAATAAATAAATTTTTAAAAAAAGTGCTGAATTTGAAGGTTGAACTCATGCATATACAATGAACAGATAAAACCTTAACCAAAAAATTCAAATCTATTGAATAGATAAAACCTTAACAAAAAAAATATATCTTTTTTTCTATCTGTCAATTTAGATATGAGAAGAACCTAACCAAAAAAATTTAGATCTGAGAAAGCCTTAACAAAAACTAGAAAGATAAAGTAGGGTTTAAGGAAATAGAGGGTTAAGGAGAGAGAAGATAGGAGAGAGAGAGAGAGAGAGAGAGAGAGAGAGACTCGGTGATCATCCGATGGTCCTCCAGCATTGTTGACAGCACCAACAACAATAACAACAAATTTGAGCCAAGAAAAAAAATTAAGAAAAAACTTCATGCTCAAAAGTAGTTCAACAACAATATATTTTTCAAAATCATATTCATATATATATATATATATATATAATCTAAATCTATATGTATAAGGAAATTGATCTAGATTTTTCAAAAAAACCACAGAACAGTTGCGATGTTCAAAGGCAGCCACATGCTCGGGGGGTAGCCGCGCGCATTAAACAGTTCGGATCCTTGAGATTTCTTTGATCTAGTCTCACGAGTGCAATGTGAAACGTAGATGAGAGTCCAGATTTGACAACTTTTATTGAAAATCCATTTTATTGCAATTTTGTCAAAAATGGACTAGATCATCAGATCTTAGAGTCCCTACCTAATATTTTGGAAAATTAGGAAACCCATGATTCGTGCCAAGGCCACTGTTCGTCGTAACCAAAGATACTTGGTTCGGAACCTTAGGCATGAGAGGGAAAGGTCAATAATGAGCACCCCCGCTCACCCGATCAAAGATCGGCCTATACTAAACCATGATATGAATTTTATTTACTTTATATGTTCATGTTCTGATTATTTAATAAATCCTAAAATTTACTATGTGAAGCACACAAGGTATCGACTAGTTTGCTTAAATTGGAACAATTCAATTTCATGTTTGTGTTTCGAAAAGGGTTTGAATTTGCCACCTCAAGTGGGCTTAAAGTTTGTGAATTTGCCACTACAAAGTGGGCTTAAAACGTACATTCATCGAATCATTCCAATTCAAACAACAAGTTTTCATCCACAGGTATTCAAACAGTTTATCACTTAAGTAATTAGCTACATGGTAGAATACTAAACATAATAAGAAAATTATGTACAAGCGGGATGCTAAAGCATAAAAACTCACATATTTACCGACGTCACTCGAACAGCTACAAAACAAAGTTAGAAAAATATGCATGATCTTATATACAAAATCCTCATGCAATTCACTCATGAGATGTAACTAAAGATTCGGCTTCTAAGATATGGTATGTGAATCATTGCAACACTTGTGATAGTACACCAAATCATATAAGAATTGATGAAATCCACTCACAAAGATGCAAACTTAGCCAAATCAATATGCATGAAACATGGATGCAAAACATGAATATGCATGGCATGTCCAGATATATACATATGTACAGTTAGGGAAAGCAATTAAAGAATGGGATAGACAGAAGCGGGGTAGGGGATTATTACAATACTTGAATTATTACATATCCAAATGAGAGAGAAATAAAATAAAATCCTCACAAACACTCAAAATAAAAATAAAATAAATAAAAATAAAAATAAAATGAAGCAGGGACACACCCTGTATAACTAAGCACCTGCTGATAAAACCCATATTAAGCCCACAAATTGAGCCCACTTGAAGCCCATGTAAAACCAACTCAAGCCCTGTACTGATAAAACCCATATTAACCCACAAATTGAACCCACTTACCTGAAGCCCAAGCAAAACCAACTCAAGTCTTGACGCCCATACTGATAGTCCATGCGAAACTAACTCAAGTTTGGTAGTCCATCCCTCTTTCTCACTCCCCACGGTTTGGTCTTCACTCTCTATATAGATATTCTCTCAGATCATCATGGATGGAAGGATGGTGTTCTTACATATGTTGGCCTGCATGTGATGGAGGGAGAGAGAGATATATTGGTCTCGGCTAGAGAGAGAGATAGTACCCAGATCATCCAAGAAAGAGGCTTATGTGAGTCGTCTCCTCTGTGTGTCTGTCTTCAGTGTATCTGTGTGTCGTGGGTGCATGTGTATGAAGCTGCGTGTGTGTGTGCTGCGTGTGGGAGAGAAAACTGTATGTGTGATGTATCTGCTGGGTGTCTCTCTTGGGTGTGTGCTCTTGGGTGTGTGAATGTGTATTAGGGGGGGCGCGGGTTGGTTAAGGCCACGGAACCTCCAATCCGCTATCCGTCCGTCAGAGTGACGGATTAGAGAAAATCAATCTGCATCCGTCCGCCAATTCGGCGGATGTGGATTGAGCGGATTGGCGGATGGATGCGAATTGGATTGGCGGTTTAAAATTTTATAAATTTTCAACATAATTCAACTTGTGCACTTCCTCAAAAAAAAAAAAAAAAAAAGTATTACAGTCATAACTTAAAAAAGTATTACAATCACTGTATGCCTCATTCAAAAAAAGAAAATTTGAAACTTTAGAGTATCACAATCACTGCATGCCTCATCCACATACTACAATCACAGCATGATTCATCCACAGAAAGTATTACAATCTATGGTTCTTAAAATATAAAAACGATTCAAACTACTAAAACCATGAACAGAATAGTAGTAGAGATTGTATGTCTCTGTATTGTTACATCTATATATGTTTTTGAAAACAAAACCAACCAGCATATATCATATTTTCTATTTATTATTTTTAGAGTTAGGTTTAAAAACCAAAAAATATAGATAAATAATACGTTTATTTTTTTCAATTTAAAAAATATATTCAAGTTGAAATTTTTTTTTCAACGGAATATTTAAATTCTTTTTCAATTGAAAACACAAACAAAATATTTAAACAAATTGAAAACACAAAATCTTATAAATTACTAGGGGTGTTCGCAATTTGGCGGTTCGGTTGCGGCCAAAAGAATCTCAAATCCGCCATTCGTCCGCCAAATTGGCGGATTGGAGAAAATCAATCCGCAATCGTCCGCTCGTCATCATGCATCCGTCCAAAATGTGACGGATCGGTTCGGTTTGGTCGATTTTGACGGATCGGTATATCCGCTGCTCACCCCTAATGTGTATCAATATGTATGCATGTGTGTGTACCGTGTGTGCAGCGTGTGTAGCTCTGTGTGTGGTGTGAGTGGTGTGTTGAGTGTGTGTGTTAGCAGATAGAGAGAGAGATGAGTGTTAATGGTGTGTGTAGGTGTGTGGGTGTGTTAACCTGTGTAGCAGTCGTGTGTCTGTGTGGAGTGTGTGGGTGTGCATGCCGAAAGGGAGTGAGGTGGAGCTTGTGCCAACAATGGCAGAGAGAGAGAGATGTAAACCGAAAGGAGAGAGAGATCAGTCCCCCTCCCCCCCTGTGTGTGTTGTCTTGAGTGTCTCCCTCCGTGTATGTTTGTGGTTTATATCAGAGAGTGAGTGAGGTATGGTGTGTGTGTGTGTGTGTGGTCTGCATGTGTTGTGTGCGTGTGCCTGAGTGTGTGTTGCGTGTTGTGTAGCTAATGTGTGTGGTGTGTTGTATTGCATGTGTATGTCTCTTTTTCAAACCAAAAACCTGCAGAGAGTGAGAGGGAGAGAGAGTTCATGTGTCTGGAATGCGTGGGTTCATGCACGAGAGAGAGAGAGAGCTTGGTGATCATTTTTTTGGGTTTGTCAATTTAGGTTCTGATTTGAGTGAGAGAGAGGTGCCGAGAGAAAAGAGAGAGAGTCCGTGCATCGTGAGAGAGAGAGGTTTTATCAATTGCCTGTCTTTTCTTGCCCAGATCAGTGCCTTCATCAATGTATCCGTGAAACATTGAAGAGAGTGAGGTGCTTGTTGTGTGTGTCTCATCTCCACCCACTCTCACCTGCCCTCCTCTTTTTTTTAATTTCCTCCACCACTTTTCAGACCCACTTCTCCGAATTTAGCCCCACTCCACCGAATTGTTTTCCACCCAAAACTTATCGTCACAATGTCCACTCTGTTCCCTTTTGA